ATTAATTGGCACTAAGACCTAGATTTGCACTTGTTTCCGAGTTATTATTATTGAACAATCATAACGTTTATGAAACATAAGAAACATCACTCATCACCTTTAAAAAAAAATAAAATTAAATAAATAGTAATTTTGTACGGAACTATATAAGGGAGATTAGGAAGTAGGACGCATGTGGACGGGGCTTGAAAACTGTTGAGATTCTCATTAATCAAATTACATTTGTTTCTTACATTTTGATAATTATTAATCCGTCCAATTTAAGAAGAGTGCACTAGAATATTGATGCGCCAATTTTTATTCACTAACTAATATGACACTTTTAGACGTTAACAATTTACAAGCACTAAGAGATTCTAAGATTAGAAGACATGGGGGATTCAAAAATAAGTTGGTTTGTAATATGTAATAGATGTAAGAATTCGTATCCTAACATCTTTATCGTGATAATTATTACTTGTTTACCAAAGCGATTTTTGCACATCAATTATGTTCGAAATACGAAAATATGTGAAAAAACAAAGGAGATTACAATTAAGACAACCCAAAAGGTCACCTCAGGAGAGATGCTACGACAAATTAATAACTTGAAATTTCGTATATAGCATTCATTTGAAGCTGTTTAAAAAGAAGAAGAAGAAGAAGAAACAATGGAAGTTACATATATATATATATATATGTGTGTGTGTGTGTGTGTATAGAGAGAGGGTCCAGAGGGAGATCATCTTTAATTCCATGCATACCCAAACAATGGAAATTAGAAAATTTAAACTTAGAACCTGAGCTTATAACCATGTTCTTATTTGAAACATTAGCAGTGTTTGAAATTGATCATATTTTTATTTTTCACGTTTTTTGAGAAAGAAAAAATAAAAACGTTTTCAAAACGCCGTTTGACGTAATAAAAATAAAAAACAGAAATGAAAATAATTTTTTAGTTTAGTGTAAAATGAGAGAGAAATAAAAAATAATTTTTAGTTGTTTTTCATTTTTTGTTTTCGCTTTCTTCTCTCTCGAGCAGAGAGAGAAATATATACATTAATGAGTTTTTTTATACTGAAAATAATCTCTTGATAAAACTACAAAACGCATTTTTAAATATAATTCTTATCTAAAATTAAAAACGTTTTTATTTTTATTTTCATATAAAAAATAAAATTATTTTAAAATGAATTTCAAACGTATCTAGTATTTCTGGGTTAGTCTTTCAACAAATATATAATTATTACTTGCTTCTATTCTTAGTAAACACTAAAAAAATTATTGTTAGTACAAAAGTTCATTAGTGTGACACAAAAAGATTTAACGAACCCGGTACGGTAACTATTGTTTGTCTCGTGACTCGAAGACACCTTATAAACCAGCATAAATTAGTGGGCCCCAATCCCCCAAAACAGTCCTTAACCGGCGCTGCTCATGATTTTCAAATCTTTCAACCGCCACGTGTGCGTGACATTGAAGTTGACGTGGCATCCATAAAACGACATTATTATTATTTTTTTGTTTGGTCCCTCTTTTAAAATGAGGAAATTGTTATTGCCAGTGCCACCAATTTGGAGCAACATCGTTGAAGCTTCCATTGGACCCCAGTTCTCCTTACCAAATCACATGTATACTAATAAATACTGACCTTTTGGCTCTATTTCCTAATGTATGAGTTATTGCGTAACAACCTTATAGTTCTATTTAACTCTTAACAATTTTAAGGCATGTTTAGTTTGCTGATTCAAGTTGAGATGTGACTTTATGTGAGAGCTTTTTAATGTAGTAAAAAAGTTAAAAATAGTTATTTCTAAAAGCTTTTTACTGAAGCAAAACTCAAATTTTAAACTCGAATCGGTAAAATGAACATGACCTTATAGTTCTATTTAACTCTCTCTCTCTCCGAAAGCATTAATTGTCCAATGAAGATAGTTTTTCTTAGCTTTGAGTACAAGTTGTCTTGAGTTTATTATGCTTGTTGGCTTCGCTAGATTATTGGGTCGTTTTCTAACATGTAAGGGAATTTTGGCATCAAAATCATGATCCCCAAATTGTATAGTGACATTCCATATTTAATGCATGGCGTGTTAGAAAAAGGAAAAAGCAATAAATTAAAAAAAAAAAAAAAGAAGAAGAAGAAGAAGATATTATACCCATCATACATTCTTTTAAAAATCATTTTTCCATATGCAATTTTCTTAAACAAATTCACTCATTGTCTTGTGAATTTAAATAAATTCACAAATTTCTTAAATAAAGGAAAACAAAATGGGAAATTCAAGCAAATGATGGACGAATGATAAGAATAAACATACAACTAACACAACCAAAACTGAATGATTAAGGAATGATTAACATACTATAATGTTTAACAAGTGAATTAATTATTAATCAAACTAAGACTAAAACTACCTCTAAGCAACTTCTTCTCGACATCCATGTGACCGATAAGACAATGGCCACGTAATCCACTAATAAAACAATTAAATATAATGTGATAATTTAGGTGGTGTTTAGCTTGTGATTGTCACTCTTGTCTTCATTAGAGACAAAGGGCCATCAAGCACACTAATGGTGATTAAAGTAGAGATTAGAGGGTCCCTGATTTTATGGGGCCAAGTCCTTTCGGACTCGTGTGCACGACTTATTTGCCGGGTTAGTAGGTCTTTGATTATGTTAATTTTGAACTGGATTTTGGTCATTAAGGTTTCCACGTGCTGATTTTATATTGTGAAAAAAAAAAATCAGTTTGAAAGGGAAGGGAAATTTCAGTTGGTCAGTCTTTTGATTAAAAACTCCAAATGCAACGTTGTTAGACATAAAATGACAGAGATCACTGTGCCCCATGTAATAAAATTTAAATAACATAAAATACAACTGAGATACAACGAAGCTTTTATTTGCTTCTTTTTTTTTCCTTTTTTTTTTCTTTTTTTTTTTTATGGGGAACACTGCCTCATAGAACACGCAGAGGCACAGCCCACAGTGCACGGTTTATTGACTCCTTTTGGTTTTGGGTTTGTTGAGGACTCTATTTAGACATGTGTTCTAAAGTACTCCTTTTTTTTTTTTTTTTTGGGTTGAAATATAGTTATTATCACCTAATATACTTAAAAGAGTTTGTGATTTTCCCTTGTTCTTTCCCCTTAAAATGAGCAAACTTTATATACGCTGTGAATACTAGGAAAAAAAAAAAAACATCTTTTGTAGATCATACAAGGGGAAGTAATTATCTCTCCTTTTAAATCCCTCTAAATGAGTTGAAAGGCACGACTTATTTCTAAGTCTAGTATGCAACGCCAAATAAATAAATGAATAAGGAGATGTTTGGTTCATGGATTTAGAATCATGATTCAAAATTATTTTCGTTTTACGTGTATTTTTTTGTGAGAGAAAATACTGTAGCGAACCACGAATCATGATTCGAATCATAACACGAATCCTCATTCTAAACATCCCCTAAAACATCTAAGGTTTGAATCCTATTCGGTGAAAATCTGTTGAGGTTACTCCCCCTTCAGTGTAAAAACTATTGACTTATTCCGATCGGTGTAAGGAACCTTCTAAGGGCACAATGCACAGGTCCTATGTGATTAATCGAGGTGTGCACAAACTAGTTCGAAAAAACAAAAAAAAAACAAAAAAAAAAAACAAACAACTAGTACAAGGAGGTGTACAACTATATTACTATAGGACAGTCTATACATAACATATATTATTATTATTGTTATTGTTTTTTTTTTTTTTTTTTGGTTATTCAGGATTGGAAACTGGCACTGGCAGTGTTAATTTATTGTAAGATAGGAGAAGAGGATTGTCACCGACCCTTGTTTGGTCCAATAGCAAAGCAGATGTTATCGAACGCTGTCTACAACATTTGACTTTGAATGGGATACAAATTAAACAAACTAATTAGGATGTTTAGGGCCTTCTTGGGCAGCATTTGAACACCTTTTCAGTGCCTCAAACAGCGAAACTCGTGGAATGGAACTGTTTTGTTGAGCGCTTTTTAGTTAATACAACAATCTGAAGAAAGGAAAGGAAAAGAAAAACCCAGGAAACCGCAAGTGAAGAAATGTTGTCCCTACGGCCTAGTATCCTACTCTACTTGGATAGGATTTGTCTGTTTGAGAATGTAAGACTCGTTTTAGTCACTGTCCTTTTATTCCAAAAAAAAAAAAAAAAAAAAAAAAAAAAAAAAAAAAAAAAAAAAAATACAAAATTAAAACATGGTAGATGAAAACAAGTGGGCATATCACTTTTGAGTGTTTGTGGCCTATTATCACAGAATTTGTCACTTAGTGTTAGGAAGATAATTTAGTAATATCTAGATATTGACAAACTAATAAATTTTCAGCACTGCCCACTTGGTCTGATTATCACCAGAGAGCCTAGTTGCAATATTTCGATGATTTTGGGTACAAATTGGAACATGGGTGCGTGTGTTTGCTTTTCCCTGCTGTCACTTTTTAACTTGACTGGTGTAGATTTTGTGTAGACCAAAAATACTCAGGTCTGGTCTTTTCTTTTCTTTTTGTTAACGAACTTTTCCTTTCGGTCTGCGCAAGTGTAAGACTGTTTTTGGGGAGTTGGGCCATAAAACGGCCACCCCAGTATCTGACGTAGTTTCGATTTTCCCAACAACTACACTGTGACTATATTTTTCGCAGTCAAATGAAGTTTTTTTTGTTTTTGTTTTTGTTTTTTTGTTGTTCTCGTTTTGCTGAGAATCAAATGAAGTATCCTTTGCATTAAAAAAATAAAAATAAAAATTAATTGAAGTATCCTTAACACCGAAGTTTCAATTTTCGTTAAGTAGCTTTTCTGCTCAAATGAGCACCGGCGAGCACAGCACTAATTTGGGCTTTTCCAAAAGACCAGAACAGCTGTTTAGGGTCAGGATAGGCCCAAGTTAGACATGACTTTGGGCGGAACAAAGTATTCGGGGGTGATCAGAGGAATACCAACATCTAGATATGTAGCCTTAGCCAAAAAAAAAAAACAAAAAACAAAAAACAAAAAACAAAAGATATGCATGGCACACTAGAATTTAAGTGCCATTTTCTTTTCCCTTTCTAGTTTGCCTGTTTCTCCGCGACAATTCGACAATCCAAACATTGTAACGCTAATCATTTGTCAAATTAGCTTCTTAGCGATCAGAAAGGAAAATTCCTATGAGATTAAGGAGAGTGGGACGTTTAAAAGAGTAATTCAATATCAAAGACAATTTTGCATGCAAATCATTTAAAGCAGAGCTGTGTTTCTAAGGAGGACAGATTCAGAACTCTTCCCTCAGGTACACTTACGAGAACAGACCATATTTCTTTCACACATTTGCTAAAAAATGTCCAACAATGCCATGGGAAAAGAAGCCCTCCCTTCAGACACAGCCTTAGCAGCAAACTAACCCATAGCATACTTCTGAGTCCAGCTTCTCGCAGTCGTCTCATACTTGTTCCTGTCTGTCTTGTACATATGGGCAATCTCAGGCACCAAAGGATCATCCGGATTCGGGTCCGTCAACAAGGAACATATTGAAAGCAGCACCTGAAAAGTAACGGTATAATAACTTTCTTACACTACACATAAACACAAGGCATTTCATGCTAAAAGTGCATAGACCACGTTTCTCCTAGGTATAGAACACCCTGATCACGGCGACATAACAAACATGAATGGGTCCAGTTCGGTGTGGCAGTATCTCATATCTTCGTTATTGAATACTGTTTATTGTATTACCTTAGTCTTATTATTTTGTGGACAGTATAATGAAAACCCATTATCCACAAGGATGCCCTTTTATCAAACAGATTAAGCAGTAGATGCAAGTTTTACAAGATTAAAGCTATAAATGTCATAATAACTTGGTTGACATTTTTGTGAAGCCCAATCATGAAACTTGGAATTGTATTTAGAACCCCACAAGGCTGGGGCTGGTGGGACATATAATCCAACCTTAGTATTGTCTTCTATGGTAATAGTGTCTGTTCTGCAACAAAATTTTTATTTTTTTACCTTGGATATGGTGAGGGCAGGGCTCCACTGCTCTTTCAATATATCGAGGCAGATGCTACCATTGCTATTAATGTTGGGGTGAAAGACCTTTGTCCTGAATGCGACCTGTGCAAAACATCCCCAAAGAATAGCAAAATTAATAAACTAGTCTATATGAAAATAATAAACATGCAAAAGCACAATATTTCCTATTCACTAAAAGTTACGAAATAGTTTTAAACCAAACCCTAACCGCCCTGAGTGGACTTCTGATTGAAGCAAAGTCCACTCTCAGCTACAAAAACATAAAAATAGTATCATACTTTTATCAAATTTTACATTAGGGGATTTTGAGCAACTTGCAAATTTGCGAGCATTCAAATTCCATTAAACCTTTCATGCAACCACCGTATGCAAACAAATTTCCACTCCACTATAAGAGTTTGACAATTTAACTCCATTTATTTAGATACCAGGGACTATACTTGTCAATTTCTCTTTCAAACAATGACAGCTAACACAATTTGCATGTAGCACTCGTACTTGAGTTGCATATAGATTATAGACATTCAAGTGTTCAGAAATATTGCCCTTAACATGAACTCAGACAATATAGAAAACAAAGAAACGAAAAAAGTCATTTTGGGGCTGAGCAAAAGATAATAGGATAAGAATTATGCAACAGTGATGATAACAATACAAAAAATCACTAGGAAATGGAGGGTGAGGGGAAGAAAGCAATAAGAAATAGGAATGACGTGGAAAGAGACCGTCGTCACTTGAAAGAACAAAACTACACAAGAATAAGAACTTTGCTTTAGGTACCTTAGGTGGTTTAAATGGATAGTCCGGTGGAAAATGTATAGTGACAAGAAACACACCACCCGCATATGGGCTGTCAGGAGGACCCATTATTGTTGCTTGCCAGTGAAACATGTCTTCGGCAACTGGGCCTGAACATACAAGTAACAGCAAGATAATCAAATTGAATAAGCCATTACAAAAATGATGTAATTTGTTTATTCTATTCTAAATATCAACAGCTTTCTTCTACAGTACCTCCAGTAGGATGGCCCCTCCAATGTAACATGTAAAAGTAAAAATGTAGCGTGACAGTTATTGAACGTAACATGACAGTTATTGAACGTAACATGACGTTGGAGAGATGTAACACCAAGATATCTAGCCATCCAAAAACTATGTTACACCTCCCCAATGTCCATATTATGTTAATGATTATCATGTTACGTTTTTCACTTCTACACATCAATCGGAGGAACCGTCAAACCAGAGGGATCATACACAAACTAGATATATAATATAATATAATATAATACAATAAGAAAATCCCTTTCATTGATAGTTTTATCAATTATACAGAGAATAGGATGAGGTAACCTAAAAAAAAAAAAAGGATGAGGTAACCTAAAAAAAAAAAAAAAAAGAGCACAAAAAAGATAAAATCTACCATCCTAGAAAAATAGTATAAATATCGACTGAAATATCCTCAATGACAAGGAGACAATTATACATGAAGTCAAGCATTAAATCATAAGATCAAACAGCAACTTGAAGTGAATACATAAAGGTAAGGCTAAACAACAAGGATAAAATAAAAAACAAAAAAGATGTGCACATTAATAGAGTTGTCAGATAAGAGAGAATGTACTGTCATTTACCAGTTCATAATAGTATAGCATATAACAATTGGTAGTTCGTCCAAGAATGCTATGACTAGTACAACAGTTATTGGCTGCCTAAAAGTAAAAAATTTCACATATGGCATGAGATACAGCGATCAGTTGTTTTATTCAAGTTGCAACCACCAACTAAACCGGAAGAAGCATTCTGTGCATACAAAGCGAAAGCTACAAAAGCACAACCAAAACACTCAGAGAATGTACCGCGCCACCATAACCAACGGATGTGATAAGCATTTCAATTGTAATTTTAACTTCCATCCATCACATAAAAGCTATTGACGACCTGAACCACACAAAAACAAAACAGCTTAATACGATCTTTATACTGCAAGATGACGGGGAATGTTGAGCGTTGGGCGATACGTTTGTGGGTGCAATTTTCAATGGAGAATACCTGTATCAAGTTTTCTCCATCACATATTGCGACACGAGTAGCTATATCTAATCCATTATTTACAACTCAGTATTTTATTGAATCTTTTAGAGGAAATCTCTGCTTTGCAAATTTCTTATACCAAATAGCTTATCATATCAGAACTCTACCTAGGGTTAAATTCAAAGTTGGCCCCAAAGAAAAGAAGTTGTCTCACTTTTGTCCCTTACAACTCAAAATAGAACAAAACTCCCCTCAAGCTTTATCATAACTTGCAAAATGTGGTGTAATTGAGACAACTTTTTTAACGGTTAAAATATGTGCGGGTCACATAACTAGTTGGTAAAGGGTAATTTTTCAACAATTTTACCCAAATGTAGGTCACCCGATGAGAACACGTCATAAAAACCGTGAAAAAATTGATGCCTCAATGACTGAAGTACCAGTGCTGCAACCTATAATTAGCACGTGAGAGGGGGAGAGTTTTGTGCCATTTTGAGTCATGGGGGACAAAGTGAGACAACGCCTATTTTTTGCTTTGTTATGATTCTACTCATCCCTATCTCTCAAACTGAGCTACTTTGAATAATTTTTTAAGGCCAACGAGGTAGCTATGAAATGGTAATACTTATTGCTTGGTAATAAAGCTATGAAATGGTAATACTTATTGCTTGGTAATAAAAGGGTATTTTTCTTCATACGTTTTAAATCAACAAACTTGAGGTAAGCCTCCGCTTAATTGTTTTACACTTAAAAAAACCTCCATAGCCACCCATCTCGTTCTCTGTCCTCTCAAACATTTCATAAAACCCCTTCCCTAGAACATTGGAGACGATCAAACGAACCCAATTCTAAATAACACAAAAAAATCCACCAAAAGGCAGGCAATAACCTAACCTAACTCTTAGGTCAACAATTATAACAATTTAAATAGCAATTTTTAGAATCCAGAAATCATAAACATGAACACATAGAAACTCAATTTCATCAAAATCGTTCAAACAATAGCAAATAGGGAAAAAAGGAAAAAAAAAAAAAAAAAAAAAGATCAGATTGGCAAAAATGCAAGAATTGAAAAAGAAAAAAAAAAATAGAAGGAAAGGGACGAACCAGCGCTGCAAGAGGTAGGAGGATCTTTCTGGAGATCCTTGAGCTCCTTCAAGATCCGCTTCGACGCCATCGCTAGCAACCAATTTCACCAAACCCCCAGATCCTCTCTGTCCCGGATTAAACACGTCAAGAGAAACGCATCAAACCCAAAACAAAATCAAGAAAAAAAGAAAAACAAAGATGAGAGAGAGAGTGGGGGATGAGATACCTAAGCCTGAGGATTGATCCTCCTCCTCTCTAGTGCTATTATTTTGTCTCTCACAAGCCAAAAGAGAGAGTCTATTCTTCAGTAATTTGGATATATAATTAAATCTTTTTTTAGAAATAAGAAAATAGAAATAAAACAATGGGTATAACTGTTATGACGTCCACCTCGTCAAAATTATTATACAAGTCAAATTAAAGTTATTATTTATCTCAAAATTTTATTATGTAAATAATAATTATAAATAGTATTAAATTTTTTTTTTATAAATAAAATTTTAAGACTTTTATTTTGTATACTTTCACAAGATAATAAAATTCTAACTCTTTCTAAAATTTTTCTTCTTAGTTTTCATAACAATAACCTTTTTTTTCTTCTTCTTATTCTTTCTTTCTTTTTCTAAGAGAGAGAATATATTCAACGGATAAGTATTATAACTTTATTAAAAAATATATTACTTAAAGCTTATAGAAAAATGTCTAATTTGTATGAATTAGGTAAAACTAATGAAAAAAATTATTAAATTTGCATTTTCAATCTATGCTCTAAAAAGTAAATTTATCAATTAACATTTCATCACAATCCTTTTTTTATTCCATCAAAGCGAATTCAGGGTCCAAATTTACAATGTATGTTGCAGTAAAGTTGTCAAAAAATTAGCTGTAAGGTACCAATAAATTAGTAGAGGAGCACGACATAACACATTAGTTTAAGGTTGTGCTTAGCACAGTCTAGAGCTGCAAATTTAGACCGATTTATCGAACCGACCCAAACCCTGTTATTGTCGGCCTGGCCCTAATCCTAACCTCCGATCTAAGTCGGAACGAGCTTTCAAGCTCGAAATCTTTAGGCTTGTTGGGATGATGTATTTTGGGTAGTTTGAACCATAACTCTAATCCAAACACATGTTTGGAAGTCCATGATCCGGTATTGGGTTTATAACCAGATAGGACAGATAAGCCCAGAAAATTGATTCCTTAACGATCAAAAAATCCACTATTTGAGCTTAGCAACCCAAAATGCATTACCAAAGCAATTGAGTCATTCTCAGCTAAACATGAGTTTTGGGTTTAAATCCATGTTTTTAATACACATCCAAACACAAATTTAAATCAATGTTTCATGTTTAAATCCTCCCCCCACCCACCAAAAGGAAGGAAAAAAAAAAAAAAAAAAGATGTACATCTAAATACCTTTTCAAATCACCGTTTAAACTCCACTTTTTCAACCCGTATGATTTAAACTCAAATCATTAATTTAAATACGTGAACTAAATAGGCTTTTATTTAAATTAGACATGCCCGGCTCAAACACTTTTTTTTTTTTATAGAGAAAATGTATCAAATAGCATATTTTATAGGTATGTTTTGAGTATACAATATATTTTTTAAATGTTGGTAAATTATAGCATGTGTTAAATTCTCATTCTAAAAAAATATGTTGTTTTTCCAACTGCTAGGATTGCTATCTTTTCTTTTCTCAGCAACCCCCATTCTCTCTCTTTCGTTCATCTCTCTCTGCCTCTGCCTCTGCCTCTGCCTCTTCCGTTCACTGCATTGAGGCAATAACAGTGCCGATTTGCTGCCACGATGGTCGCCATCGCCATCCACGCTCGGAGATTCACCGCCATCCTCGTTGAAGCTTGGAGATCCGCCGCCATGTCGTCGAAGCTTGGAGGTCGATCGGAGATCAGTCTCTCTCTTTCTCTCTTTCTCATCCTCCTCCAATTTTTCTCTCTTTGCTCGGCGAGTGACAGACAGCAGCGTCAAAAATCATTGAAATTGCGTGGTTCGGCTGTTGACGGAGATCAGAGTCCCGGCTGCCATCTCTGAGTTTCGCGATCCTAGATCGCCACGAACATAGCGACAAGGAGTCCGCCGCTGCCATTTCTCTACTCACGATCTCTCTTTTCGGGAATGGCGGACTCCGGCAGTGACATCACGAATCAAAGGTTGAAGGTGTGGCTCGTCATAGTCACGAATCGAATAAAGGTCGTAGCTCATCATCGCACAGTGACAGAGAACTAGAGCCGGCAATATGAGCCGGCAATATGGGTCACGACACGACTCGAAAACAACAAGAATTTTGCGGGTTAGGGTTAAGAAAAAAGATGTTCGGCACGAAAAATACTGGTCAATTTCGGGTTGGACCTGCCTAACCCGAACACGACAGGAAACTCGTAAAAAACTAAAAAATACATATATTTTTCATTTCATATTTTAAATTTTATTATGAACTTGTGATATCATGATAGTTATATTTAAAATCTTATATTATTATTTGCTTAATTTCAATGGATGTTATTGTAATTTAGTGTGTTATGAATTTTAAGTTATTTCTAATATGTAAAAAACTAAATAAAAGTATACAATTTTCATGTCAATTTCAAATTCACGGGTCAATTTCGTGTCACGGGTCATTTTCGAGTCGTGTCGTGTTCGTGTTGCGGTTTTTAAAAAATTTCGTGTCACGGGTCGTGTTCGAGTTGACTGTAAATTTAAAAAGAAACGATCAAAATACGATACGTGACACACGGAGAAGAGATAACGCTCGTTTACTATTCAAATTTAGAATTTCAATTTTATTATATTAAAAAAAATTTCGACATAATCACATACAATTAAAAATTTAAATCAACAAATTAAATGGTCTTAAGACTTAGCCGGAGAAGATTTATTAGCTTCTTTTCTTATTGTTAGTGCATTATTGTTAATTTGAGAAGAAATAAAACCGTACATACAATTTTCAATTAGCTGGCTATTATAGGGATTTTGGTGGCTGTTTCTTTTTAATGTTGTTTCTATTATTGGGTTTGTCTTTTAATTAGGAAAAGTCGAAGAATTATTAAAAAGACGCGACTACTAGGCATATGTCGAGGAAACTGTTTTGGAATTTTCGTGGATTGTCTTTGGTCTTTTCCATCTGAAGTTCCTTTCTTTGTTGGCGTTTATATTATTGTTTTTAATAAATATTATATTTATTAGTAAATATTTTATTAAATTTGAGTTTGAATTTAATAAATATTATATTTATTAAAAATAAAGTATTTATTAGTATATATGATATTTATCGATAAATATAGTATTTAATGATCGCCATAATCAGTAATTATATTTGATATTTATCGATAAATATAGTGTTAGATGGTGGCCGGAGTCTGTGGTTAAATTTTTAGATAAATATGATATTTACTAGTGAATACGGTATTTACTGGTAAATACAATATTAATCGGTAAATATAGTGTTAAAATGGTCGCCGAAGTCAGTGGCTGAATTTACTGGTAGATACGGTATTTACTAGTAAATACAGTATTAAACGGTCGCCGGAGTCAGTGGTTAAATTTTCAGATAAAAATGATATTTACTAGTAAATACAATATTTATTGATAAATACGATATTTACAGGTAAATACAGTGTTAAATGATCGCTAGAGCCAGTGGTTGGATTTTCTGATAAATATGATATTAACTAGTAAATACGATATTTATTAGTAAATACGGTATTTACCTATAAATACATTGTCAAACAGTCGTCAAAGTCGGTAGCTGAATTTTTGAATAAATATAATATTTATTGATAAATACAATAGTTACTAGTAAATTCGATATTTATCAGTAAATACAGTATTAAACAGTTGTCAGAAAAATGGTCGTTGAATTTTTCAAGTAAATATGATATTTAGTAGTAAATATGATATTTATTAGTAAATACAATGTTAAACGGTCACCGAAGTCGGTGGCCGGATTTTTGAGTAAATAAGCTATTTACTAGTAAATATGGTACTTATTGGCAAATAAGATGTTTACTAGTAAATATAACATTAAATAGTCATCGGAATCAGTGGTTGGCTTTTCGGGTAAATATGATATTTACAAGTAAATACTTTGTTAAACGGTCGCTGAAAAACAGTTATCGAAAAAAGGTAACTGGCCGTTAGAAAATGGTCACAGGTTGCCGGAAATGGTCTCCAGTCGCCGACCGCCGGTCCTGGCTATAGTGGGCTTGACTATAATCTACATATATTTAAAAAATATGCTATAATTTATTATTTTTTTTAAAAAAATAGATGTTTAGGGGGAGAAGTGATGTGGAAAATGAGATTTATTGGTATTTTTTAGTTTTTAATAATGTTTAAAACTTAAAATATCAAATTATGCTATGATTTATTATTTTTAAAAATATGTTATAATTTACTAATCACTTTGTCAATTATGTTATTTTCGTCCATAATCCTTTTTTTAATTTTATTTTGAGTAGTTATTGTTGGTTGCCGAATCGAATTCGGCTGTGGAAGCGTGGGGAGAAACGGATCGTGTATAACAAAAATTTCAGAAAAACTTTTGAGATACTCTATAGATTATATTAATTTATGCACGAATAAATTAATCGCATTAATTTATATATCAAGAACTCAATCTGAAAAAAATACCTGCAAGCTGACTCGGATGATAACTTGAGTTCTTTGACCACGAACAGTCCTTGCTCCAAGTTTTGTGTTTAGAATACCAAAGTCTTCCACGTCAATTCCTTGATTCCACGTAGACGTGTGTGTGGGCACACGTGAGACAAAACAGGTTTCTTAAACACTCGAATTTCCACAAACACCAACGCATGCACGATGTGGAATTTTTTGGAGAAAAATATTTGCTCTCTTTTTTCCTTTATGAATTTCGGCCACCAATCCAATTAGGGCTGAAAATTGTTTTCAAAAATTGTCTTCACAATTTTCTATTATTCTCATATTTAAAGAGTAGAAGTCAAACTTCAAAACAGAATTAAATCCCTATTTCTAATTTGAATTTTGGAATAAAAAATCCCTTCCCCTTATCCATAAGGTGGCCGGCCACACCCTTAGGGTTTCACCCTGTGTGTGGCGCCAACAGCAGATAGGGAAGGAAGAAAAATCATTCTTGATCCTGTAGTCCAATTTTAATTCAAAGTCAAATTCGAATTTAAGCCAAATTTAAATTAATTTGAATTCTAAATTGAACAACTTATCAAATAAGTTCAAAAGGATAAATTTAAATTATGTTCACAATTCAAATTCAAATTTAAATAATCACATTATTTAAATAATAATTAATTCTCAATTAATTATTTTTCGAGTATTTAATTTTAGAATTATGTAATTCTAAAATTCCTATTTTGCCCTTTGTGTCTAGTAGAATTACAAGGACGACGCGGGGACTAATGGACCTATAATCCCGAGCTCTAATAAAATTAATAATTAATTAAACACTTTAATTAATTAATTAATTATATTAATTCCAATAGTTACTCCACTATAAACTTGGAATTGAACTCTCAAAATTATAGACATTAATTACTTCTAAACAGCGAAGTGTCCATTTGATATAGTCATTTACATATAGATCAATCCTCCATAAATAATTCATAATTAGAGTCAGGTAGAATCCGTTAACCTCTCTAATTATATCTGCATCCTTGAGTACCATTGATTCTCTAATGGATAGTGATTCATAAAACACATTAATGAACCAGAGCGCTCTTACTAATCCAAGTACCGAATCAACACTCAAGATAATTATTTATCTACTTCTTTCTCAAGAAGGAATGTATTTCATCTCGTATAATAACATTCACAGCTACCTATTTCATTATGTCTCCAAAATACAAGGAATAGGATTCAGGGTCTCAGAATCCGTACCGAGTAAATCAAAAGACATAAATCCATAAATAGGAGTTTGTTAAGAACTCAGGATTAAGATCATTCTATACATGACTATCGGTAGATTCAATTAGAATTTCTATGCTTAACGGAAATTATTAGAAATTCATATTGTGTCTGTGTCCTTGTTCCACATAATCTTATTATGCGAAATATACTCATTCAATATCTCGCCATATTAACAATGCGGATAACACCGTTCCATTCTAAATGAGAATGACATGTATTAATAATGTTTTAATTAAAGATTCTGAACTTTAATTAAATTCACCATGAACAATATTTTTGATTATTATCCTTAAACATTATCATCTCGTATATAATACTTATATACTATGTTTAAGGTTATATAAACAATCACAGAATTTTCATTTGATATTCATAAAATATTCATAAATATATGCACATAAAATGATGAATAAACTCTTTTATTAATCAATAATAAATATCTTATTACATCTCATGTTTTTAGGACACTATTCCCAACAATTATATATGCACCCATCAAAGTTATAGATACCCCACTACTTAATATTTCCTTAATAAATATTTAAAAAATCAATCCTTTATAAAAATTTTGCATATAATATCAAATTTAACCTTGTCATAACTAAATATATTTTTATTTTGATTTATTCTACAAAAACACGTCTCTAAGGATTAAATTCTAATTTAACCGTAAAAAAAAATTATTCTGATTTAAAACAAAACTTTATAAAACTTTATAAAACATAATAAAAACTAACTTTAAAAAACAAAAAACGAAACAAAACGTTACGTACAAGCCAATAGATGATCTCAACCTCCTCAATCTACACAACCCAGTAGAAGTGAAGCAAAAAAATAAATAAATAAAAATAACAGTATGCTAAAATCCAACACAAAATCAAGAAACCTAAACGAAATTATCGGTAAGGGTTTGAATCCAAAATTATAGCTTGAATTTCGTTTAATTTGCTTGCAAGATCGGATGGAAAACATGGAGTGATTGGAGAAATGAAAAGAACTTCACAAGGGGAAAAATATAGAAAGACTTGCTTCAACATCCATTGATTTCATGAGAGACATCTTTCTTTCTAGATCGCAATTGGTGTTTCCACTATTTCTTGAGAGAAAATTTTATAGAAATATATTTAAAGTTCATAAGAATTAAGAATTTAGGTGGTTGGGTGTATTTTTATTTGAACAATAATATTTCCCTTACATATTCTTAAACGGGGGAGTTGTAATACCTTTTTTTTAGGAAAGCGATAAAATTTCAGTAAAAACATAAATTCAATAGGGGTGTATTCTCCCCCACAAAAAAAAAAAAAATGTGGGTGTATCCCTAATATGCTTTATTGTAATTTTACTAAAAAATAAAATTATTTTATTAAATATGATAATTTAATAGGGGTATTCATAAATTTAGTGTGTGCAAATATAATAATCCGTTTTATTTTTGAGTTATTTGAAAAATATCTTATAACATTTTGGGCTAGGTCCAGGCCTTTCGGGCTTTAAGGTCGGGCCGGACTGGTCTTAAATTTTTATTCGGACAGCCAAAACTTTTACCTTTAGCACGATCCAATCTCATAAGTTGTGTTAGACTTAAGTGTTGAACATTATATGCTAAACATAACACGACCGGCCTAAAAAGGATGACATAACATTTATGTGTGAAAATTAGGCTAACAATATCTGACAAATTGATTCATCGTCAAGAATTGAATAATATAACATAGGAAGATCTTTTATCCATATCGAATTCCAAAGTCAATTTTGATACAATTAAAAAACCCCTTTACTTTAACTTTGTTTTATATTTTTCATTCTTTTCCACCCTTTCTTTCTATAAACTAGCGCCCTCCTTGTACAATCATTTTTGTCCATAACTTGTCTGGTTATGAATCATAACTTGACAAGTTTGTTCATAATTTATCTGGTTATGAACCATAACTTGACAAGTTATGTCCTATTAATTTATATAACTAAAAATTGATCTATATACTTCATTAAGCTTTTCATATTGGACTATTTTCTACTATTTTCGTAATTATAATTGATTGTGGTTATTGGACTATCTTTCTTGCTAATTGATTAAATGAACAATAAAATTAAAGTTGTTCAATGGGTCAATACGGGCTAGCATGATTAAGCACATGAGCCGACGACGCATAAAAGCATGACAAATGGACTATGTTGGATCAAAAGTGAGGGATTGTAGACCAACACAGCATGACACTAATAAATAAGCTGCACCAAATACATCATATTAGCACGATCATACTTAATTAAATGACGACCCATTTGACAGCTCTGTATTGAAGGGAGACATGTGGATTTACTTTTGGGTTATGTTTGCAACAATAAATGATCAATTTTGCTTTTATTTATTCTCTTTTCATAAATTGCTTCTCAGCCTAAACGACTGAAAACTTTCAGATTTAGAACGACATGTTCTAGACTTCTAGTACATCTTCATTCGTTGTCTGTGACTGGATCATATGTATGTGGAATTGTGGACCTAATAAAACCTTCCATTGTCCTCAAAAAAAAAAAAAAAAAAAAAAAAAAAGTCTCATTCATTTCGCTGATTCGAGTTTAAAATTTGAGTTTTTTTACAGTAAGAAGCTCTCACAAACAATCACATCTAACATTTTTACTACAGTAAAAAACTCTCACATAAAGTCACATCTTAACTCGAATTAAAAACTCGAATTAGCGAACTAAACTGTGGAGTCAAAATGCAACGCGACTTTTCTATTATTATAGAATTTTCATGTCCTTGAATTATATCTTTCAAATACTCAAATCTCATAAGAATAAATTAAAGTTAAAAGATAACAAAACCAATGGTTGACTTGAAAAAGTAATCCCATCTTTAATTGATTATAAATGCCTTTTGCTTAGGAAAATGATTAAGATTGCAACTGTAGAGTTGAAAATACACCTGGCTCTCAATTCAAACCACCTTGTCTTATCAGCCAACATTCAAAAAAAAAAATTAAGACAGTCATCTATGGTAAGCTTGATAAAGTTGAAAGGTCACGTGGGTGGAATAATAGTTTAACAACTTTTTCTCTTCCTAAAGCAGAAGTGAAATTTTATGGCACATAAAATTCGACAAAGGTCAAAAGCTGGTTGTCACCTCCAAATCCCATTTGTCTTTCAAGGGGTTTTGTTAAACTCTTGGATGCTTTTACAATTTTTACTGTCTCCTTTGAATAATAGAGTAATATTTCTTTTTAAGAGAGCATTTTAATTTTAAGGAGTGACTCATGTTTTACTAAAGAATATCCAGAAACTAATGCACTTTAGACACTATTGCTTTTTCTCATGTTCCTTTTGACAACACCTTGGCCATGACTCAAAATCTCATTTGGAAATTGGAATATAGAACAAAGCAAAAGCAGCTTTGTTTTCAAAATTTTCCCTCCACTATCTTCTGATTCTACATTCAAATGGATTCTCTCATTACACAGATTACAAAAGAGAGAAAAGAGATCTTTAGTTAAAGGGAATATCCGAATTTCCGCTTTCAGAATCGACAGCCTGCTGATACACCAATGCATAACCTGATCAAGCTCTACCTAAATGGGATCAAGTTGATAAAAAATAAAAAAGAAAATAAAAATCATTGCAGTTTTGTGCATTAACAACACTTTGGGGGCAAAATGAAGTAAGATACTTCACCATATGTGAATTAAAATTTGAAAAAAGAAGAAGAAAAAAAGGGACAAATTGTCTACTCGTTGGGTGAAGTTGAAAAATCTGTGCCAACTGCTGGCTGTGGTTTTGAGCTTTCAGCTTTGATTCCGGTGTATGATTGAGGCTCGTTATCGATCCGCCTGACATTTTCTATCATCTTCACTACGTCAGACATTTTAGGGCGCTGATCCGGCATCCTCACCACGCATGCCATGGCAATCTGTAACATCTCTACCATTTCTTCCTCTATGTTTGGATACCTCATTAGCTCTATGTCAAACACTTCATCCGTCCACTCCTCTCGGACCACCGAATGAACCCACCTGACTAAGTGAATAATCTCGTCGCCTGCAGTGGTATGGATGGGGGATTTTCCAGTGAGAAGCTCAAGCAAAACCACCCCAAAGCTGTAGATATCAGATGGTTGAGCTGCTTTTCTGGTGTCTGTTACTTCTGGAGCTCGGTAACCAGCAGCACGGGAGATTGGTGGAGCCAATGAGCTCATTATGCTCGCCAAACCAACATCCGAAACGCAGCCAAACTGCCGCGAATTGAGGAAGATGTTTGAGGCTTTAATGTTTCCATGGACAAGCTTCCCACCATTCTCTGTATGTATACGCGCAATTCCTCTTGCAGCACCAATTGCTATTTTCAGTCGGGTATCCCAGTCTAGAGGGACTCTATCCTCTCCTCTTTTACCTGAAAATATGAAGATTCATTCGGATGAGGACTTCAGAAACTCAAAGCAATTGGCTACATACTTAGAATAACCAGATAGAACGTTGAATAAGGAAAATATATCGAGTATGAGTAAATGTATTTTCTTAGAAAAGATTTCCCACGCTCAATAACAACTCAGAATTAATGGTTTATCTAAAAAGGACCCTATAATGGAAGAATCAATGAAGGTTATGGCAAAAACTAATGCAAGATAAGCAGAGTGAGACAAATGATAGTTTGGTTACCTAGAACAAGGTTGAAGAAAGAATGCTTCTAATTCATGTTTCCATTTCTTACCCCCGACATGTTCTTCCTAACATATTCCTTCTCAAACTATTTTTACTAATTTCCCAAGTTCCATCTCTAAGTAATAAGCTACTTGAGTTCTAAATTGCCATTGAAGTTTCTCATACTAAGCAAATAATTCTAATTCAGCCAAATAATAATAATAATAATAATAACAGTTAGAGAAGTTTATATTCAATAGAGCTTCCAAGCAAAATTGAAGTATACGTAGATTGACAAAACATACCATGTAAAATAGCAGAGACGCTTCCTTGGCTGTAGTAATCATACAACATCAGCTTCTCTTCTTTGGAATAATAGTAAGCCTTGAGCTCAACCACATTTTCATGCCTAATACTTCCAACAAGCTCCATTTGCTGCTCGAATTCACGCTTCCCGACATTGACATCCTTCAACCTCTTCACCACCACAGTCGCTGCATCTTCCAGTATCGCCTTATACGCCGTACCAAACGTACCCTTCCCCAACACCTCAGCAGAAGCCCTCAACAAATCCTCCAAATCAAACGCATAGTTACACCCCTCAAAGAAAACCAACCTATTGTTCGCATCTTGGCTCCTAGAGATCATCTTCTCCGGCGACATATCCCCCTTGTTCAATTTCCCGGAAAGCCCCCCAAGCCCACCAAGCCCGTCTTTCCTCTTCTTTCCCGAGAAACAAACAAGCATCAGAAAAGCAAACGCCACAAGCCCCAAAACCGCACCAGCCACTATAATCCCCAACAATGCAGTTTCACCAAGCTTCCCACTACCAACCTTAGCACTAATATTACTACCATTTGTAGGCATAAAAAATGGCTCTGAAGAAGGTGACACAACAGGTGGAAATTCAGGTGCAAAACTCGAGAAAGAAACATTGTTACCTCGAAAAACCGACTCCGGAAACCTCTGTAATGACTTTGGCACAGACCCACTAAGGAAATTGTTTGACAAATTCAATTGTTGTAACTTTGACAGTTGGAGATCAGGGATTTGCCCAGAAAGCGAGTTGCTTGCCAGGTTCAAGCCGGCCAAAAGGGTCAAGTTAGAGAGAGAAAGTGGGATGGTGCCATTGAAATGGTTGTTGGAGAGATTCACAATGGTGAGATTTTTCCAAACTGAGAAGTCCCAAGGCAATGGCCCAGAGAAGTTGTTGAACTGAAGGTAGAGAAAAGACAGGTTTTTGAGGTTGGACAAGTCGGATGGGAATTGCCCATTTATGCGGTTGGATCTGAGGCTGAGAATCTGGAGACTTGTGAGGCGGCTGAGCGTGTTGGGAGGGATCGGGCCGTCGAATCCGACGCCGGGCAATCGGACGGCTAAGACGCGAGACTTGTCGTCGCTGCAAGTGATTCCGGTCCAGTGGCCGCAAACCGGAGAAGTCTCGTTCCAGTTGAGAGGACGAGAGTGAGGGAGTTTTGTCATGAAATCAAGTAAAGCTTGCTTATCTTCAAGTGGGTCGGATTTTCCTCGCAAGAAAACAAAACCCACCAAGAAAATCCAAGGGAAAACGCCTACACCTTTCATTTTCTTCACACACACACACACAAAAATAAAATAAAATCTAGAAAAAAAATAAAATAAAATGAAAAACCCAGAACTAGTTTAAGAAGATAACGAGATGTTTCTTCTGCAATTCTTCTCCTCTTTCTCCATCATGGCTCTTCCTTCTTAAACTAGCTGAATATGAATATGAATGAAACACAAAAAAACAGGGAAAGAATCAGAAAGTTAAAGCGAAAAAGAGGAAAAAGAGAAGAGAGTTACGAATTCCGAGACAATTGTCGAGAAAAGTAGAGGCGACTCTGAGGAGAAATTTTTTGGCGTAAAAAATTGAGCTTTCTTTGCAGTGTTTGAAAATGGAATAACTTGGTTCTCATTTTTTTTTTTTTTTTTGGTTTTATGTAGTAGACTAGTAGTACATATAGATGGTCAAAAAGGGCGTTATTATATTCTGTAAAAGCAAAATGTGTTGCAGAAAAAACCGAGCTTTCTTCCTCTTTTTGTTCTTAAGTTCTTTTTTCTGTAACTTTCTGATTCAAAACTGGCCACAAACAAATCTCTATCTAATAAACTTAAACAAAAGTATAAAAAGCACGAGCTTAAGCTGGTTATATTAAAACTAAACTTACCATTCATTTGCAACTCCTTTTTTCAGATCTGAACCACTAGAATCACTTCCAATCTCCAAGCTTTGAAACAATCCAAAAAACAAAAGTTAACAAACGAAGAACAACACAGAGAAAATTACCGTGTCTGAAATGCACTACCACATTAGGAATTGCCAATAATAACAAGTGTAATTAATTAAATCCAAAAAATTAAAAAAAAAAGAAAATGAAATGGGAATTCAAAGCAACGTACTAGTTATGATTTCCCTAAACTGATTGTGCTCATGCCAAAGTGGAATCCAACGTGAATGTGCTGAAAATGGTAATCATTCCAAAACAACCAACAAAAAATAAAAAAAAAATAAAATAAACCAACAATGTTACAATTACAGTCTTAAACTTACCCCCCTAAAAGAAGTGTACCTACACAGACACACATATGACATATATATGTAACATATACATATATATATATATACATATATAAGACTATACGTACAAATTGAAATAAATTCTTACATTTCCTTTTTCTCTATTTGAACTTTGAAGCTCTTTGAGAGATTTTGAAGCCAAGCTGTAGAGAAAAAATAAAATAAAAAATAGGCTGAAGGAAGAGTAGTACGTAAGTGGAGGGGTTTTTCTAAGTTGACCTGTGAAAGTAAATGGGTGACGGAAAACCGGTAACTATTGGGTTGTGATTGGGCGGTTTGGTCACTGGTGGTTGCTGGGTTTATGGGAATTGATGACGTGGCGTACGAAGACCGATGTATGGGGCCCAATGTTAATGCATACGGAGTTGCGGGAATTAAATGCTCGTGTCGTCCTCTCCTGTCGGTTGCTTGCGGTTACTACCAAGGAATGCTTGGCGGGGAGATCTTAGCCGTTGATTAAGGATGATAAGATTTTGGCGCACTTCCGAACTGGCCGTTGGATTGGATGGGTAACAGAATGTTTGTCCGCTTTTTGCCGTTGTATGTGGATTAAGACCATAAATATGAGATAAATATTGATAAGTTTTCGGAAATTTTACATATACGAGAGTATTAACAAATTTTCATAACTGTCAAGTGCACTAGTAAAAAAAGAAAGAAAAACTGTCACGTGAAAGAATCACAATATCAGCCCATAGCAATTAAATATGAAAATTTGACATGCTATATTTAGTGTCAAAGTCTTTAAAATTTTTTATTTTTTAATTCAAATGTAAAATTTCAGTACAGAGCGGTCACGCATAGAGGTTTTCTCTTGAGAATTTATAGCAGGCTCTTTTAGTTCGTAGATTTAAACAGAAAAATTTTAATAAAAATTTAAAATTTTTGTGAGAAAAAAATTATGATAAAAAGATTTAAACATTGTTTTGTGGTTACATTATAGATATAATCTATACAAATAACTATAGATTTGACTCTATTATAAGTGTAAAGTTTAAATCCCTATGTAGAAGTTTTATCTTTTGATATTAATAAATAATTGTCCACCGTTTGTTTTACAGCAAAGATCCAATTTAGTGCTTTTTCTATTGGAAAGGTTCCAAATCCAACTACTGATTTGGATCTTGCAAAAAAGTTAATGAAACTTTTTTTAAAAGCTAAGTGAGTGGTAGGTTTTTTTTTTTTCCTCCGAAAACATGTGAGTGGTAGATAATTGAATATTTCTTTTACTAGTCTTTGGATAGTAGGAAAATGGAGTACAGCATTAAACATGATACACATTTGCAAACACTAATAACCGTTTAGTTCGCTAATTCGAGTTTTTAATTTGAGTTCAGATATAACTTTATGTGAGAGCTTTTTACTATAGTAAAACAATTATATGTGACTGTTTCTGAGAGCTTTTTATTGTAATAAAACTTAAAGTTTAAACTTGAATCGGTGAAATGAACGGTGTGCATAAATAAAAGAGCTTTTGTGTAAATAAAGTTAGTCGACAAACTCGGTTCTTATAATGATAATTCAGCAGCTTACATTTATTTATGCTGAAAATTCTCTCGGAACAGTGAATCTTGGGAAATCAAATATTTTTAAAACGAACATTTTGTTCAGCAAAAAAAAAAATAAAAAAAATAAAAACGATATAATAATAAATAATTGGTGATACCATGTTAAGTTTTACACTTTGTTTTTGTGAGAAAGTTTTACACTTTTATATCAATGGCATAAGATATTTGCAAAAAGATGGGTTCAAGTGCAAAATTATTTATATATTTCAAGTTGGAAGAAATACCATTGAAATGATTTACCTCTAAAATTTTTCTTCTGTTTTTACTTGTTTGTTATCTTATCAATCTTCATGTTCATGTATGTCTCTTTCTGATTCTCTTTAAAGTTTGAACTACTACATATGGTCTAATTAATGGCTCCCAAAGCCTCCCATGCACAAAACAGCCTTAACATCTTGGCCAATTGGTTGGTCAGAATTCATTGTGAGGGTGGCAAAAAATGGAAAAAAAAAAAATGCATTTATATATTTTTGGTAACAAATTTTTTTTTTTTTTTTTTTTTTTTTTTTTTTTTTGTTTTTTGGGTTTCAATTATTAAAGCAAAGTTTGAAGGAATGTTTGCAGTTGTACTTTTCCTAGCAGCACATATAGATAGATTTGGTGAGACTTGGATTTTGATCCTTTTTCAATGTTTGGAATTTGCCTACTAAATTGAGTGGAGAAGGATGAAATTGGGCCAATGGAAATGGCATGGGGAGTCCAATATTGATACACATCATATGCAACTGTCCAATACATGCCCGCCATTTTGATTTGCCAACGTTGGATTTTTCTGTTTGAGATGGGGAATATTAGGGGGTTTTATGGACATGTTTTATGCTTTCCTATTGTCTACAATATATTTGACTGGTTTTTGTATTGTATTGGTTGATTGCTACATTATTATTAGTTTAGTATTGACGACGTTGCTAAGTAAAATGGCACATGTGCTTGTATGGTCGGAGTCGTGTCTTTCTTTGCTAAATGGAGGCTTAAATCGAACTATACTAGTCAAACGGAGTAGTCTAACTTTTAATGTTTATCCAAAATGGATAAACGACCCGCCACCCCTGTGAGTAATAGGCTGTGACTTCATCGAGATGAATAGTATTACTCTTTTAATTAAAACTGTAATACACATGTTGTGTTTGAAATTGATCATATTTTTATTTTTCACGTTTTTTGAGAAAGAAAAAATGAAAACGTTTTTAAAATGGCGTTTGGCGCAATAAAAACAAACAACATAAATGAAAATGATTTTTTGGTTTAGTATAAAATGAGAGTGAAATGAAAAACGACTTTTAGTCGTTTTTCATTTTTTGTTTTCGTTTTCTCCTCTCTCGAGTAGAGAGAGAAAAAAATAGACATTAATGGTTTTTTTTTTTTATACTGAAAATAATCTTTTGATAAAACTACAAAACGCATTTTCAAAAATGATTTCTATTTGAGATTGAAAACGTTTTCATTTTCATTTTCATACAAAAAATAAAATTATTTTAAAATGAGTTTCAAGTGCGCCCACAATTTCAATGTTTTCTTACTTGAAAATAAATAAAAACCAAAAAACACCCCTTTTTAGGGGGAATATTATAAGGACACTCGACAAAAATGACAATAACAAAACAGGGCTGGAGAATTTCTTCAAAGCTCAAAAAGTTCCTCTGAATAAGATAACACAAATTTAGCAAGTGAGGAGCTACTATATTATTTGTTTTAACAATATGTCAAGAGTAACAATACAATTAACTATGAAATATATGAGAGATCAACTTCAGCTTGAGAGCACAACACAGAACGAGAACCAACATTAAAAAATAAAAAAAATAAAATAAAGTGGGGATTCAAACTCTATAAAGTGCGCGTTTAATACAACCACTAGAACCAATGCTAGGACATCAATAACAGCTTTTCAAAACCAATTATTATTATTGCTTGACTGTCTAGAAAACTTCCTAAATCTCAAGGTTCATGTCAAACTCAATTTTCGGTACACGTTGGTTTCTGTCATCTAATTGAAATCCGAAACCTAGGTATCGAAGGTAGGGACATGACTATAAGTATCAGCGAATTTTTTTTTTTTTTTTAACAGGCAGGAATGAAAATACCTTTTCTGTTCGAGTTTCTGTCGTATTAGATGGGTAGTGTTTAACTCATAATGTTTATATATTTATTTTGTATTTCACAATTAACAAATCAGAGTGGCGCAGCGGAAGCGTGGTGGGCCCATAACCCACAGGTCCCAGGATCGAAACCTGGCTCTGATACATTGGAGTAGCTTCCTCTTCCTGCCCCCTTTTTTTTTTTCTCCTCTTTCGCAGGCCCTAATACTTTTTGAGCTAATTGCCCCTTAATTATTGTGGATTGATGCGATGGTCCTTTCTAAAGTTTAATAACCAGTCACTGTATTCGAAATTATTGGCATTTACATTTTACGCCAATTGATGGATTAAAGAAAGAAATAAACTAAAAGCTATTTGTCAAGAATCTACCCCCAAAAACAGCTCAATGCACGTTAAATTTTTTATTTTTATTTTTTTGCTTGAAATGCACGTTAGTTTCCTCCAAAAGAAAAACATCAGTTATCGATTTCCAGCTATTTGTCAAGAAGAATTCCTTCAATGAGTTGATTTTCATAATTAAATGTTTTAGGATCATTTTGCTGATTCAAGATAAATTTTGGGGACAGTAGTGCAAAAAAAAAAAAAAAAAAAAAAAAAAAAAAAAAAAAAAAAAAAAAAAAAAAAATCTTTTATTTCTCTCATCAATCAGACCAAACTTTATTTATCTGTTCCCTCCAAGTTGCATCTCTTTTATTCCAAACTTTATTTATCCGTTCGCCCCCAAATTGAAGAGCTACAATCTATCGCCTCGTAGCAGCAAGTGGGACTTCTATACTGAAAAAGGAACAGAAAACAAAATGAACATAATTCATTGTGCTTGATTAGGTGCTAGCATTATTATCGGTGAACATAATACTAGTTCACGTACACATTCAGACAACATTAACAATGCAAAAAATTACAACAACAAAAAAGAAAAAGAAAAATACCAGTTCCATAGAAAGGAAAATCATAAAATTGCAGTTCTCTAATTAATTGTGTTGATTAGATGCTAGCATTATTGATGGAGATTGTTACAAAAACATCTCCAGTTGCTTAGATGCTAGCAATAATTTCGGTGACTATTTTTGACACAGTACTAGTCCATGTACACTTGAGATGATATTAATGATGGAGATTGTTACAAAAACATCTCCAGTTCCATATACGGAAAATCAGCAAAAGTAAGTAAGCAATATCTTGTTTCATATTCAAATTGAACATTAGTAGTCGTTATTGACTGAAAGGCTAGCACTATTATCTATACAGTTGAACATAGTTCATGTACATCTTGAAATGATACTAAGTACTAACAACGGAGAAGAATACAAAAGCATCTCCAGCTCCATGTAAAAAACTCTTTCAGAAGTATGTTGGGAATGTAGCCACTGGGCACAGATCAAAAAAGAGCCGTCAAGCGTGGATCAATTCATTTTTGTGTTATAGTCAGGATCAATAGGGTAAACTTCATTCATTAGCTTGAATAGAGAAGAAGGATGTCCAATCTGCCTGTCCATTCTTGACCAGGCTTCAAGGAGATTGGTTTCTCGATCAATGCTCCGTCCACACAAAGTGTACGCTTGTACTCGTCGTCTCCAAAGTCTGCCATGGCTTTGGTTTTCCTCTCCCATGGATTCCAAACCACTGTGGACGAGAAAATCTCAGAGTCAGAGGAACTCATGTATCATTTTTGCTTGCCATTTCACCTTCCTATATATATCAAGCATCAAACGGATAAGTTGGTAAAGGTTCTATCATCAAAAAAATAAAAAAGTTTTGGTAATGAACCTAAAGTTAAGACACCCGTGTAATGAATCTTTGTCAAGGAATCAGATAGGAGTCTGAGGTTTAACATGATCCTCCAAAGTCCAAGCTCATATATTTGCAGAAAGAGTCAAAATTCCAACTTCCGAAATGAATTATCATTCATTTAACCCGACTTCAATATCAGAGGTTTCACTTTTTCTTCCCAAATCTTGAGCCAGAGCATCCCTGCCCAATCCTTATCAAACACCCAAGATTCATAAATGATTTACATTTTGCTCTTGTTTGTCATGGAGGGATACACAGCGCAATAGCATTTGTGTACTTTAGTTCTTTTATGACGGTCGTTAGTAATCCCAGATCCCATTTAGATGATAATTACAAAGCTTAAATTGAAGATTTTGTTTCTACTTATGACACCCAGTTTAGCAGTTTGAGGTGGAAATATAAAATGACCGTGGCAAAAATGGCAATATTCTTTTGATCATAAAACTTAGGCGAAGAAAGGAATCATACCAACATCTGGAAGTCCCTCCTTCTGTATGATAAATGTTCGCTTCTTCCCATGGTCCAAAATAGCCACCTTACTTGAAGTGTCAAGATAAACTCGATCCACCTGCAAGAAAGAAACCGAGAAACAAAAAAAGGAAAACAAAAACCTTGATAAGCAAAATGCTTTCAATTGGTTAACAAAGAAATGAACATGATTGCACCAAAAATTCCGTTTCCATGATCACTAAGAGAAAGGTTTTCTTTACATCATACCTCAGATTCAAATGTTAGGGAATTTCCTTGATCAGTGAAGCGCTCTCTCTGACATAGGTTGTCAAAATAGTCTCGAGTCTCCAGGCCTTCAATCCTCACTTCACTGTTGGAAGATATATTTGTGATCTTTGCTTAACTCTCAGAAGATAATAAAACAGAAAGCTATCATAATTCTACTAGAAACTGTTCATTTTCATATCTCATGCAATTAGTGTTGCCAGTTTCCATGGAAATATCTACAAGAAAAACGAGCCCCACTTGAACGTTTGCCTACCCGATATCAGAAATGGAGAAATATGTATGGAAGGCAAATGAGAAACTGAAAGGCTTGCAATTCATGTTCCTGACACGCGGAATCAAGGACAGATTCCCATTGGCCCCCAAACAGACCCTCAGACGAAGCTCGAAACTGGTAGAATGACAAAAATCACCATTTCAGAATGACTGCAGTTTTTAAATTTCTCAGTATTACTTTTCATATAAAAGTGAATTTGATATGTGGGCAGTCTGTATGAAAGCTCTTAAGCAACGCATGAGTATTAATGATGAAAACTTGAAAGCCTCAGAAGGGAATGTAAGCATTGAAGCTCAAACCTGTGTGGCCAGACCTTGAGATCTTCATCAGACGGTTTAAGCAGCAAATCAATGAATGTCTTTCCATCAGAATCAGTACGAATCATAAAAGGTGGAGGATTCTTTTCAATGACCCAAAGCTTGTTCCTGGCAAACCCATGTTGCTCCAAAGTTCCCCTATTTCCAAACTATGAAATAAAAATGGAACCAAACCCCATTAAGCAAGAAAATTCTTAGATGATCAAGTGTACATGCACTCTAACATACACTTCTTTACCTGTGGGAAACCAATTTGGATTCCTCCACGAACTGCTTTTGGTGGCTTAAAGACTGCCTAAAGTAGTTGAAAAAGATAAGTATAATGAAAGGGACCCGAATTTTGTCAGAAGATAGCAATGACATATGTACAAGAACATTAAACTGAAGGAAAAGAAAAAAGAAAGGAATTAGCCCATTCAAACATTTAAACCAAAATGCAGGGGTTTTGCCAACCCACTCAAATTGCGAAATCCATTTCTTGGATGGTTTTACCAGCCCATTTAAACTTGTTAATAAAATTGCAAATTCCCATTTCTTGGAGTTGGAGAGGTTTCCATTTTGCAAATAGTACCAGTGAACAAAAAGAGCCTTTCAAAAAGTTCACCTCATTACTAGTGAACAAAGGACTTAGAATTATCTCTTTCAAATTCGTAATCTCTTGAAGGGTTTTACCGTTCTGTGAATACTGTGAAACTAAAGCAGGCACTTTTTCATGGGTATGACAATAGCATTTGGCGTCAGAGTTCTAAAAAACTAAAACTAATGAAGAAAAACTACGAACAATAAAAAACTTCTGAGAAAATTACTTTACTACTAGTGAACAACAACTCTTCTCCACGGTCAGTCATCCAAGAACGAACCTGACCTCCGTACAAGCTCACCTGTATTCACATCACACAAAAGAAATTTCAATTCTTCAGAATGTAAACAGAGGAACGAGATTCAAAACTAGGTATTATTCAATTCTACATTCTAACCTTCAAATGTTTCAGAATGTAAACAAGAAAGAAGATTCAAAACTAGGATTTGTCAATTTCACATTCTAATTTCCAATTTTTTCAGAATGTAAACAAGAAACGAGATTCAAAACTAGTATTTGTTCAATTCCGCATTCTACTTTTCAATTTTTTGGAATGTAAACAAGAAATGAGATTCAGAAACTTGTAATGCAATTCAACCAAATTTCTACGAACACCAAATTATCAACAAAGAACACAGGAAAATCAAAACACACAGAAAAAAAGAAAGAAATCGAAACCGATCGATCGAGAAGCCATCAACAAGAAAAAGAAAACTAACCCGCGCAGAAAATCCTCCAGAACTCCTGAGAAGAACCTGATCGATTCCATTTCTGTCCTTCACCACATCCACCGAACCTCCTCTTTGATCGCCACTCAAACCAGAAGGATTCATCTTCGAACACAAGAAAGTGATGAAACAGAGAACAACTTTCTCTCTCTTACTCTCTCTCAACCAAAACTGCGAAAAATCGAAATGCTGAAAACCGACTTCGCTCTAACACCGCCAATATAAACGACTTTCATAAGCTCCCTTTTTTTTTTTTTTTTTTTTTTCTCTGAGCAGTTGAAAATCAAGGATTTCTTGTGAAGAAAAAGAAAAAAAAATCCCGATTTTCTCGTGAAATGAAACCAGAATCCCAACTACCAATATAACTAACTAATTTTCTCTTTCTTCGGAAGAAGAAGAAGAAACATGAGACTGAAACAAACTTCCAGAAACGGTTACGCAAGCATTTGTGGTGGGAAACAAGATTAATTCAATAAAATGGTTATTTATTTATTTATAATTTTGGGGGTCAGATATTGAAGATTAAAGAGATTTTTGTTTTTCTTATGTAATCATTTGAACAGATCTTGGAGGGGTTGATAAATTTATGAATGATGATAATTAAGTGCAACTTGCAATTTTTTTAAGTTCCAAAAAGAAGCCAAAAAGTGGGAAAAATTATAAATTATTGGGGTAATAGTGAGGATTGGCGATCATTAGTTTTGTTCCCGCACGGCCTGATGGGGACTGAAAAGTCTCAACATGCGAGCGCTGATTAACGGAATTAACTACCCTTTGAAAAGGGTGACATAATCTATGCTATAATTTTGCCCCTAAAAGATTCCTTATCTTCATTTATGCCCCCCAAAGAGCATGTCATTTTTGTCGGTTGATTGGTTTTTTTCAATAGACCATGCTTTACTAGTCAAAACCCATGTTCATCCAAGGAGGGGAAAAGGATATTTTCAAAAAAAAAAAAAAAAAATCTAAAAAAATAAAAAACATGTGGATATATGAATTACTTTACTTAAAGGTACACGGAATCATTTTTATTGTAACTTTACTAAGGTGATGATGATCAATAGTAGTGGTAGTACATAAAATTGTCTTTGGTGTAAGTGTACTATTGAATAGTCTAAAGATTTGTATGGCCGAAAACTGTAAGATGAATCACTTGTGAATCACGAATGAAATCTTTTCAAAACATTGAATTTTAATTAATAAGATTGCCCATCAGCTTTGTCGGCATCCATCGGATGTGAAATGCGATAGAGAAATTCCATTGCAAGGAACAGCAATAGCACTTCTCAATCTCATACGTTTAAATAAGATGCATGAATCCAATAATAGAAAATTTTATATGAATTATATATATGGCAATTAATCTCACAGTATAAATTAGATAATTGACTAAAAAATTTTATAATAATTAATAAAATTAAATTTTTATCACGCCACATAATTAAATTTTTATATTTAATGTATAAACCACTATAAAAACGTAAACATTAAAAATTCGTCAATATATATATATAACATAATCAAGGCAAAATATGTGAGTTACTTCTCTTACGTTTAAATAAGATACATGAATCCAATGACTAGAAAAAGAAAAAAGAAAACCCACAAGCAAGTCAGAATTTGCAAGTTCTTGGACGGCTTTAGCAGAAGACAAAGTGCAAAACTCTCACCAATGCCACGCATTTTAGTTCCACAAATTTTACCCATTTTTGAGAGTGATGGGCTTTGACTTGCAATCCACTCGAAAAAGAGAAAAAAAGTCCCAGTTTAAGATGTAACAGCTGAAGCTAAGACTAGCAAGAAAAGATTTTGCATGGGCAAATTGAATTACAAGCCAATGGTAAAGGTTCAATGGAATTTCTTCTGAAAAGTTCTTTTAATAAGCTTGGTGAGCTTTTGTCCCTACTTGTTTTTCAACTGGAAAAACAATTCAGAAAAGGCACCTACTTTTCTTTATTTACCTAAAAAAAAAAAAAACATGCCTATCACAAAAGCAGAAAGATTCAGACCCATACTCAACTTTCTCCTAATATCAGAAGAAGATCGATTACAAAAGATTTCTTCCTCTCTACCATCTGCATAAGGAGGATAACAATATATAATTTGCTTTTTGCAAGAGACAACATTAAATAAATTTTCGGTCATGGTTATCCAAGAAATAGCATATATAAGGTGCAATAATTAGTACAAACAAACTACTTTCCTCCAAAACCTGTCCTAATTGCCTAAAACAGTACTTATAAATAGCTACTGCTTTAAAAATAAAAATAAAATAAAAATAAAATAAAAATAAAAAATCCTACAATGTATAAAGCTACTAGGTCAATAACTAATCACACATAAAATGAAAATCATATGCAACAATGTGATAGATATGTCCCTCATCATCTACCTAATTGCACTCTGCTACCTACTGTTGCAAGTCAATCAGAACTCGAGCACACTGTGAAACCACAAGACCTTTGGTCAAGATGTGGGCAGACACATGGCTGCATACAGGACCCTCTTTTCGATCATCTAGCAGCAACTGTGTCAGTCCTAGAGCTCGAGCCTAACAACTGATGAAGCTTGGTTTCTGAATTTGAACTTTCATGGGTGTTGCGATCTGGTTTCACATTCCTATTTAAAGTAATAGAGTTGTTTGGTACTTTCTCAGTATTGTTTCTTAGGGTCAAATCAGCTTCAACGTTACTTGAGACGGTCTCTCCTTTCTGTGCTAGCCCTCTAACTTCCAGCTTCTCCTGCACAAAGTCAGTTAGCAAAAGAGCAGCTCAATCAAATACAGCTTTGCTCAACTACCAAAGAAAGGGTGTGTGCGTCTGTGCATATATGCATGAATATGAGGAAGCAAAAAGTTGGCAAATTGCAAATATTCTTATTATACGCTCAACATTGGCAAAGGAGACGCATTTAATATGAGGTAATACCATCAATGCGGCGTTTTCATGCCTCAGTTTTCCTGAATCGCCTTTCAGTTGTTCTAGTTCACACTTAAGGGCCGCATTCTCCGCATTCAAGGATTCCCATCTTGTCAGCAACTCCTCATATTCCGCCTGCTTTCTCAACCTAGACTTCTTCGCAGACTCTCTGTTTGCTTGTTTCCTTCTCTCCCGTTTCAACTGCCTTTCGTCCTGTGAAATTTAACATCCAGAAATATGATGTAATAGAACACCATTCCTAATCTTTTGACTTCTTTATATCCGGTCCAAAGTTATCAAGTACTCAAAACGTCTCATAACTAATCCCCCATTAAGTCCTTCCGTCAAGAATCTGTTAAAAATGGGATGGAAAAAGACACGTGACTTCCATGTAACAGTTTGATGTATGAAACGCTTGCAATGTCCTTCATTAAACAACATGTGGCCTTCATATTTTCCGCCTAATTTTTAACAGTCAATTTTCGGTAAGGACTTCAATGGAAGAATTTAGTAAATTTGGTGTCCAAATTTCGGATTTACCCTTAAGTTTGGGGACCAAAAATGATATTTACCTTAAAATAAACAAGCAGAAAAGTATTCAAGGCCCAAATCTACACGTGCTGATCTTATTTTGACAGAAAAAGAGGGGCACTCTTTTGACAAAAAGCAGAAAAGAAAGAGATAAAGCTTTATTATTTACATACCAGAGCCAAGGCCAAGGCATCAGAAGGAAATCCTATCCCAGAAGAAGTGGCACAAGTCGGGGTATTTCCTGCTTTCTCACATTGGGATCCAACATACCCGATGAACACAGGAAGCATGGTATTGTCAGAGAGATCAGTAGAAGTCTCATTTACTTTTTCTTCAATTGAAGAATTGACCTGAGTATAGGCTTTCACATCAATATCTGCCGCCAAGAAAATTGAGCAAAGAAATCAGTCAGCATGAAATAGTTGACATATGGCTCATCATCTTCCAAATATATAAGACCAAAAGCATGACAAATATTATTCCTGACCCTGCATGCAAGTTAACCCAAAAGCACAAAAACGAACATTTTTCTCCCCAAAAGTGGAAAAAGCGGGATTGAAAAGTGGGTGGCAATTGGAAGTAAAAGAAGGAAACAAAAAACTGCCTCTAAAAATGAATGCAGATCTCCAACGCAAGAAATTTTCGACACTAGAAAGTTACAAACACAAGGCATAAGATAGTGAAAAGAATTTTCACCGTACCACTGCTTTGCTTGCTCTCAGCCCCATTATTCATCTGAAATTTGTCTGCCTGAAAGATGAAATCCACAAATACTTTAACTCACATAACGCATTATCATTATATTTCAAATAAATAAAGATAAAGAGGGCAAAATAAAGGAACCCATTAGACATGAGAAAATTAAACATAACAAAGTCAGATTCTCACATCACTACTTCCATTGCTTCCATCTGTCATGCCATCAACATCACGTTCCAAACTGCATACATTATAAAGTCAGCAACCAGTCGGATTTTGGTAAGTTAAAACATAAGTTAACTAGCTGCAAGTTTCTGATGAATGCATTATCTCAACATAAAACTAAATGCAATCTTCAAAACTCCCCAAGCTCGAAACTTTCCCCTTAAATTTATCAGTAAAGAACAACTCTAAGTCGGTATACCGCATATATACCTCTGTGATACATCACTTTGGGGATTATCACATCCAACTTGAATGGGAAGCCCATCTGACCCTTTTAGCTTCTTTGCTAATCCTTGTTCCATTTGCTCCAATGATTTAAAGCTCTTTAGTGCTTGAAGAAATGACTACACAAAATATAAATATTTTCAGCAAAAGCTGGACAAAGTAGATGCTTTTCCAATGAGCAATTGCCAAATTGGCCTAACATCATAAAAGGGCTAGAAATAACAAAAATTTAAAAACATTATCTATCAATCACTTCCATGACAAAAACCGATTAAACTTGATATTTATCGTGAATCAAAAGAATCCATGGGGTTCGTAAGTTCTGTTCATGCAATCAAAATTATCAGTTGTGTAGCAAAACTTCCCTTTAATTGAACTGCGATGGAAGAAAAAAAAGGAAATAAAATAAGAGTTTTGTGTTCAATTAAACATAGATATTAAATTGATAGGAATTTGGAGGTCAAAATTTGAATAAAGAACAATTAATAGAAAAAATTGAAGCAGATTAATGAAAAGAAATTAAGTGAATCCCATAAAATCTAATATTCATAAACGTTGTCAATTTTCTGATTCGCAAGAAAAAGAAAACTTTAGAAGGCCATGCCAAAAGAGATCCCCAAATTGAACAAACCTGAAAGTTTGGAATCTTCGAGAGGACAATATGGGGAGCGCGGAAACCCTAACCCTGGCTCGAATTTTCCAGCGTTTGCTTCCTTTTTCTCGGAAATTGGAGGGAAAATCTTTGATTTGGCGTGATTTCTGAAGGAGCCAAGATCGAATACAGTGACGGAGGGGAAGGAGGAGGGAGAATCGGCGGTGCACGCGCCGGCGCGTGCGGTGGTGCTCTGTATGTGTTCTCGCGAAAGTGGATCGTGTCAAACGCACATGTAAAGGTTGTTGAACTGTGATAACCTGATTGGCCCAGATCGTCGGTTCCGGACAGTTGCTGAACGTTCGCCACGTGTCGAAATTTCATAAAGGATTGGGTTCAGTAAAATAGGCTCGTCATTAGCCGAACTTTCCTCGTCATGCGGCTTTACGTTTGGTTGTTCCTCCTCGTTGGCAAATGTACGGTGTTTTTTTTTTTTTTTTTGAGTTTGGATTTCGTTCTAAAATAATTTTAATTTTTATATGAAAATGAAAACAGAAACGTTTTCATCTTTATTTTAAAATCATTTTTGAAAATGTGTTTGGTAATTTTATTTTAAAATTATTTTCAGTTTAAAAAAAATTAAAATTGTGTTTGGTGGTTTAATTTTTAAAAACATGTAATAATATTTAAAATAATAATATATTAAATAAACATTATATACATGAAAACTAGAGGAAATGGGTGTGTTTCGGGGGAGAGGGCAATCGAAGAAGAGTGAGGGGGCCAGTCGGAGAAGAGCGGCAGGGCAGTCGGGGAAAGAAAAATGGAAAGGAACGGGATGAACTACGGGCGAGAAAATGAAAACAAGAAAAATGAAAACGGGAAAAAATCATTTTCAGAAACATGAGAATAAAAAGAAAATGAAAAGGGTGTTCTCAGTTTTGATTTTGGAAAAATGAGTCACTAAACGACAATCTTCATAGCGTTTTCATTTTTGCTCCTTGAAAAACGTTTTCAAAAACGAAAACAAACACGCCCATAGTGTGGAATTTCTATTTTAACTTCTTAATATCTTGATTTTGTTATTTTATTTTTTTTAGTATCAACTAATCTGATAGGTAACTTGTTAATTTTGATTGTTATACAATATTAAACGATTGTATTTATTGTAATAACATTTATAAGGCAAATTTTTTAAAAAATAAAAAAAAGGCATTCAGGGCCAAGTCAAGACGCTCAAAAACACTTTATGCTTGAAATCCCAACACAGCCTAACATGAGGGCTTTAGGCCAGGCTTGGCTGATGATAATGGACTTGAGTGGCTTGTTTATCTCAGTCTAAATTTACGGTTCTAATTTAAAAGAAAATATTATATTATACTAATACAATGATTTTTGTTTCGCTGCTAAAACTGGAGTTTATTCAGAAAGCTTAGAAAACAAGTGAGTTACCACAACCGGAGCAACAATCTTGGAGGCAATGAAACCAAATAAAGGTCCAAACTCATTAAACGCCCGTTTAGTTCCCTGATTCTAATTTTTAATTTGAGTTAAGATGTGATTTTATGTAAAAGTTTTTTACTGTAGTAAAAAAGTTAGATGTGACTATTTCTAAGAGCTTTTTACTGTAGCAAAACTCGAATTCTAAACTCAAATCGGTGAAATGAATGGGGCCTAAGAGCATCTCCAATGTAATATTATAATTAAGATATTAATTTCAAAAATTCTCCCTAACTATCACTCTTGTAACACTTTGCTTTTCGAATTTTAAAACGTAACATCTGCTTCCCCCGAATTTTGATCTGTTAACAAGTTTTCTTCTTCTGTTACAATGAGTGACGAAATTCACCACGTGTCACGTACATGACTCATATGAGGAGGGTATTATCATAAAATACCATGCAAAAACCTCAGGTTATTAAAAATGGATTATAAAACTCAAATGCGTAAATTAAAAAAAAAGATTAATCCATTATATCGATTATGTTGGTTGTGTTAGGGTTAGAAGTTTTCCCCTAAAAAGAAAATTCAGAGAAACAAAATCAATCTTCATTGTAAATCGATATAGGTGATGATTTTGAATTGGTTGTGTTAGGTTTGATGATTCCGAATTTGCACAGTCTGAAGATGAAATTGATATAGGTGACACAGTTGAACAAACATTGCAAGGGCTAGAGAGAAAGAATGGAAAGGGTCCAGTGCTTGGTGATGAGAGCGTGTGGTGGTTGAGGAAAATGAAGAAGATAAATACGCTAATACGATTTCTTTTTGTTTTATGACAGGAGTACATTGATTTCGAAACATCGATGGGGGCATTATGAAAAAGCCAGAGAACTTCGTAAGAGGGCATTAGACCGGACAAAGCATCCCATGGGAGAAAATCAATGGTTCAGATTTGCATGAACAGGATATGAATGTACCAGAAGAAACTCAAGTAACAGTTGTGAAGTTACAGGAAGCTGCCTTGAGATGGAAGAAACAAAAACTTTCCACCTATTAGGAAGAAGAATAAAGGTTTTGAGATGTGCATGTATTGCTGTATATTCTGGGAAAATCTTGTTACTTTTTTCTCCTCCTCAGTAGGCTTCTCACTTTTATACTTTGTAATATGCATTTTAAAGCCATCAATACATCATACCATGAATTTTAGATTTTGGCACATTTATAGCTTTGGATTTTCTTAGTTCTTAGAGTATTCTAACTATTAAAAGGACCTAAATACCCTTAAAAAATAAAAATGGAATTTCAAGATAAAAACAAATATTAAAGAACAACAGAGTTAAAACAAAATAATTTACTAAAAGAAAAAAGGGACGTTATTCGGTATGTTTTTTTATTCGTCGGATCTAAATAAAATCACGTAAAAGTTAAGAAATACGCAAATTTAATGGTTAAAAAATTTTAATGTACTGATACGCTAGGCGTACCATAAAATCTCTCAAGAAAAAAAAAATCAAGAAGAATAAGGAAAAATTTTCTTATCCCACAGTCGTCGTCGGGCCGCTGCGAGATCGAGATACCAGTCCCTCCGTTGCCGCCGCTGGAGCATGCCCGCCTTCGTTGCAGCATGCCCGCCTCCGCCTCCGCTAGTTCCCAATAGATTGATGAGCGCCACCCTTGAGAGATCCTGCACGGCTACACCCAATGCCATGATCAAATTCTGTGTTTTCTCTATTCTATATTGTCCATCCCTGTAACTAAATAAAGAATTTAGGAGAGGGAACTTTTGTGAATGGCATGGCCAACTTTCATGATGAAGCCCAACCAGCTCCTTTTGTGTCCCTTCAAAGAATTTTTAGAAGTTGTTATTTACCCTTTTTTTCTTGTTTTGGCTCCCATATATTTTTAAATTCAAATTTTATGTTGAATGTTTTGAATATTCCATTTATATCCTTAAATTGATCTATTTTGACTCCATTAGACTATATTATACAAACAATTTAGTTTAGAAGTTTGATATAACTTAAGCCCCCTCTAAAAATTATTTTTTTCTTTGTTTCTGTTGATGAATAAAATGTACAATCTACACTATGTGATAACTGTACAAGAAAATGAAAAAAAAAATGATACAGATTCTAAGATAAGGAAACTAGCTAAAAGTACATAATAATAATGTGAGGAAATTTATCCTCTGCACTTGAAGAAAGAACACAGATTTTCAAAAGAGAAAATAAAAGCAAATATAAACGAACAAGACACCAGCAATTATACTTGATTCGGATTCCAAATAATCCTAATCCAAGTTAGGGATTTCTTTCCTAGTCCAATCCACTAATAAACAGGGATTACACACTCAGATTCTCTCACGCTTCTCAGGGATTTTCTCTCAGTTTCTCAAGAAACTATCGCACACCCAAAGACAGATTACAAACCCAAAAATTCACCCAACTGAATTTCTCTCTCTCAGTAATCTCACGTGTACAAAGAAGTTTTCCTTTCTGAAACTAGAGTGTGTTACAACATATCACCAATCCCTTATTTATACCAAACTAGGCCAAATAGAAGAATGGCACATGTACTAGTTACTTTGCTAGCTGTGAGAGTCTGCAGCCTTCCACAACCATTTGTTGACTAAACCACACGTCATTCCTTCAGCAAGTATAAATTAGAGACACCAAATCAACAAATCTCCACCTTGGCTCTAGATTTAACACCTTCGTGAATAGGACTAGAGATCCCTAATTTCCAGTGAGCTACATAACAAGCAACCTGAGCAAGTTCAATGCTTCCTTGAACTTGGTAATAGGAATAACCTTCGTGAGCATATCTACAGGATTGACTTCAGTAGATATCTTCACAACTTCAATTAGCCCTCTTGCAATTATGTCTCTGATAAAATGTAGCCTGACATCAATGTGTTTCGTCCTCTCGTGAAATACACTATTTTTGGTTAAGTGTATAGCACTTTGAGAATCACAGTGAACATTCACTGATTTCTGGACAAAGCCAAGCTCACTGGTAAAACCTTTCAACCAAAGACCTTCCTTTATAGCTTCTATCAAAGGCATGTACTTAGCCTCGGTTGTAGACAGAGTTATCACGTGTTGAAGACTTGACTTCCAACTGATTGTGTTTCCCCCAAGCGTGAAAACAAAACCAATTAAGGATCTTCTCTTGTCAAGGTCTCTAGCATAATCTGAATCACAGTACCCAATAACATCACAGTTTGTGTTGCTGTTCCCTGTATAGACCAATCTCAGATTTTCAATCCCCTTGAGATACCTGAGCAACCATTTTACTGCTTGCCAATGTTGTCTACTTAGTTTGCTCATAAATCTGCTCACCAAACCTACTCCATATGCAATATCTGGACGAGTGCTAACCATAGCATACATCAAGCTTCCTACACCACTAGAGTAAGGCACATGTCTCATTGCTCTGGATTCCAAATCTGCATCATGATCCTTCACAGAAGTTAACTTGAAATGAGCACCAATAGGAGTATTTGTGCTCTTAGCTTCCTTCATGCCAAAAGTATCTGCAACTTTTGAAAGGTATTCCTCTTGAGATAAAGTAAGAAAGTTCTTACTCTTATCTCTGTAGATGTCCATCCAAAGAATTCTTCTGGCAGCCCCGAGGTCCTTCATTTCGAACTCAGAGCTCAACTGTTTCTTTAACTTCTGTATTTCCCACAGATCCTTGCAGGCAATGAGCATATCATCCACATATATAAGCAAATAGATCAGTGAATTATCCTTCAGTCTAGAATAATACACATAACTATCATATTTGCTTCTTGTATACCCATGTCCTATCATAAAATCATCAAATCTCCTATACGACTGTCGAGGAGATTATTTCAAACCATATAAGGACTTCTTAAGCAGGCAGACTGTGTTATGAGGATCACCTTGTTCAAAACCTTCTAGCTGTGACATCAGAATTTCTTCATCTAAATTTCTATGGAGAAATGCGGTTTTGACATCCAATTGCTCCAGTTCAAGGTCTTGAATGGCTGTGATAGAAAGAATTACTCTTATAGAAGTGTGTTTTACAACAGGTGAAAACACTTCATCATAATCAACACCTTTTATTTGTGAGTATCCTTTTGCGACAAGTCTGGCCTTAAATCTTGGCTCCTCAACACCATGTATCCTAGGCTTCCTCTTGTATATCCATTTACAACCTATTATTTTCCTCCCTTTTGGTTTGTTTACCAAGACCCATGTCTGATTTTTCTTTAAGGAATCCATATCTTCTTCCATAGCTGTCTTCCACTTTTTCCAATCTGTGTTTTTCTTTGCTTCTGAATAAGTGGCTGGTTCTTCTAATTTGAGGGTCTCTGCAGCATTGAATGCAAAAGCTATTAGATAAGCTTGAGCATATCTTGAAGGTGGTCTGATCTGCCTTCTTGCTCTATCTCTAGTAAGCACATAATCTTGAATTTTATTTTATGTAGAACCAGGTGCAGGGTTTTCCACTTCATCTGGATGCGCTTCAGTTTGTGTCTGATCTAATTCTGCACTAGAGATGGTATCTCCACTTAAATCAGCAGTCTCGGGGGTTGACACAACATGGAAAAAATCTTCAGCGTCTTCTTCCAGCCCCTGCAAATTGTTCTCGAACTCCACCTGAAACTTTTGCTTCTTATCAGAAGTTTTAGCTTCTGGAAGCTTTGCCTGCATGTCAGTCTTATAAAACATATGTTCATTGAAGACCACATCCCTACTGATCACACACTTCTTATCCTCTAACAACCAAATTCTATAACCTTTGACTCCTTGGGGATACCCTAAGAAGACACCCTTTTTGGCTCTAGGATTTAGTTTTCCTTGACTTACATGAACATATGCTAGACAACTAAAAGGTCTTAAATGGTCATAATTAGGAGATGTTCCAGACCATACATGTTCAGGGACTTTAAAGTCTATGGCTGAGGAAGGGGATCTGTTAATTAGGTAGTAAGCAGTGGAAGCCGCTTCTGCCTAAAAACACTTTGAAAGTCCTGACTCTGTCAACATACATCTTACATTGTTCATGATAGTTATATTCATTCGTTCGGCTAAACCATTTTGCCGGGGAGTACTGGTACATGAATGTTGTCTAGCAATCCCATTACTAGCACAATATGCATTAAATTCTTGGCTATAAAACTCTAGACCATTATCAGTCCTTAATCTTTTGATTTTCTTACTTGTTTTATTCTCCATTAGTGATTTTCATTCTAGGAATTTACCAATGGCATCATTTTTATTTTTAAGAAAATAAATCTATACTTTCCTAGAAAATCATCAATGAATGAAATAAAGTATTGACATTTTGAGAGTGAGAAAGGTACATTTGGTGAGCCCCACAAATCAGAGTGAATGTAATCAAGAGTACCTTTGGTTCTATGCACTGCCTTTGGGAATTTAAGTATGTGAGCCTTCCCCATGATGCAATTTTCACAGAACTTTAAGTCACTAAATTTCTGGGTGTTCAACAGGCCCTGCTTGCTCAGTTCTTGCATTCCCTTTAAGCTCATATGTCCCAACCTTTTGTGCCATAACTCTGTAAGATCATCATTCTTCTTTGAAATTCCCGCTTCACCAGTTATTGTAGAGCCTTTTAGGATATACAATCCTTGCTGTAATTCTCCTTTCATCACCACAAAAATTCCCTTAAGGACTTTTAAAACTCAACCTTGAGCCTTGTAACTACAACTGTGTGAATCTAACATTCCTAAAGAGATTAGATTCCTCTTTAACTCAGGAATGAATCTGACTTCCTTAATTGTTCTCACTGTACCATCCCACATCTTTATCTTGATGGAACTAGTTCCTTCAAAAACACAGGAGACATTGTTCCCCATGGGTACCTTGCCTCCATTGGTTTCTTTGAAATCAAAGAGCTAATCTTTTCTGGGTTTCATGTGGAATGAAAACCCATAGTATAACATCCATTCATCTCTTGGATCTGTCCTTGACACAGTCAAGACATCAGCATTGTCATATCCTTCTGAAACTGAAGCAGCATCACCAGTGGAGTTATCATCAGCCTTTGCATTACTCTTTTTCCTCTGGGGGTAGAACCTCTTAATGTGACATTCTTTGTGACATGTCCAACAAGTCTTTTTAGTTCTTGACTTAGACCTAGACTTAGAATGACTCCTACCCTGATTTTCCTTTTTCTCAGACCTGCCACGAACATTGAGACCTTCCCCATTTGTTTTAGATGTTTTCCCATTAACCTTCAGATCAAGTTCTTTAGAGTATGCCGCACTAATCACCTCATCTAAGGACAATGTTTCTTTACCATATTTCAGGATATCTTTCAGTTGCTCAAACTGTCTAGGTAAAAAATTTAATAGAATAATAGCTTGATCTTCTTCATCAATGACAATATCAAGGTTTTCAAGATCAGTTACCAGTTTGGTGAATTCATCCAAATTCTCCTCAATGGCTTTGATCTCTTCCATCTTGAACCCGTAGTACTTTAGCTTCAGATAAATCCGGTTTGGCAGAGCTTTCGTCATGAAGAGTTGTTCTAGCTTCGCCCACATTCCAGCAGCAGTCTTTTCTTTGATGACTTTCCTCAAGATTTGGTCACTAAGACTGAAGATGATGGCATTTCTGGCTCTCTTCAAGATTTCCCCTTTCTCTTTCTCTGGAATGGTAGAGGCCATCTTAGACTCGCCCTTGAGAGCTTCTTCAAGCCCTAATTTTCCCAGATGCGCCATCAACTTTTCTCTCCATAAGTTGAAATCATTCTTACCATTGAATTTCTCGATGTCAATCTTGAAGGTCGTCATGGTCGATCTGATTCTTGGCCAGTGAACTCGATCGATGTAGCGGTTTCGCTTCAGAACCACCAAGAATCCTCAATTGTGATGTTTGCTGCGTTCTCTGAGCACCGATCTCTATCGGCTCTAATACCAATTTGTGAGGAAATTTATCCTCCGCACTTGAAGAAAGAACACAGATTTCTAAAAGAGAAAATAAAAGCAAATATAAACGAACAAGACTCCAGCAATTATACTTGGTTCGGATTCCAAATAATCCTAATCCAAGTCAGGGATTTCTCTTCCCTAGTCCAATCCACTAATAAACAGGGATTACACTCTCGGATTCTCTCACGCTTCTCAGGGATTTTCTCTGAATTTCTCAAGAAACTATCACACACCCAAAGACAGATTACAAACCCAAAAATTCACCCAGCTGAATTTCTCTCTCTCAGTAATCTCACGTGTACAGAGAAGTTTTCCTTTCTGAAACCAGGGTGTGTTACAACATATCACCAATCCGTTATTTATACCAAATTAGGCCAAATAGAAGAATGACACGTGTATTGGTTACTTTGCTAGCTGTGAGAGTCTGCAGCCTTCCACAACCATTTGTTGACTTAACCACACGTCATTCCTTAAGCATGTGTAAATTAGAGACACCAAATCAACAAATAATAATAAATAATTACAATCCCATGTTTCACGATACTGAAGGAGATTGATAATCCTTATTACTAAGCATGGGCTTGACCTAGGAGAAGCTATGCTATGCAACCATTGACAAATAATGAGTTTGAGATTTGCATGAACAGAATGTGTATGAACTATGTCCCAGAAGATACTCAGACAGGAGTTCGGAAAAGGAAGAATGTTAGGCCAGTCCTGCCATCTGTGGCTGCATTTTACATGGTGAGCCAAGGCTCTAGAAATAGCACATATATCACTGAAGGCGTGTCTAAGTATCTGTATCAGATAAAGAAAGAAAAAAAAAATCTTATTCGGAGACTTATTGACAAAAGAACATACACCAAATATTTGAGAGGAAAAAAAATTGAATATAAGAGTTTATCCTTTGAAGTCCTAAAATATACAATAGGGGTAATTACAAATCTTTTTACAAACGAACAATGAACTGTAGAATAAAATGTTGTTTACGCACGCTTTTGCATCGCCAAACTTTCACCCAACTTCCTCCTTTGACATGCAAGCCGAATCCGCATTGCTTTGATTTTTTGTTGGATAAATTTCATAAATTCCTCTCTCGACTCGAATATTTAATTTGTACCATCCGTTCCTCCAATTTTGAGATTGTACCAAATTTTCTCATTCTATTAACCTTTTGATGGAAGTGACATGTCTTGAGCATTGAGATGTTTTATTCTGTAAGATGACTAACCTTAGTTCAGACAAGCACAACATTTTCCACAAGAAAAAACTCTTAAAATGAACTCTTAAAATGCAGAGAGCTATCTAGATAATCATCAACACGAGTTTCAAATCTTTACTTTTCATGGAAAGAAATTTTTATCTATTTGATCATTCCAAAGTGTATGAAATTACAATTAAATAAACTTGAGGGTAATATAGGGGAAGGGACGTAAATATAACACATTGTACCGAGACAAGTATAACACACTGTACATACTTTTTGCCACTTGAGGCTAGCTCAAGTGGTTGGGTGCGTGAGTGTGCATGCGTGTGTCCACCAAGGTTCAAACGCTGGTGATTTCATTTCTTGTATAAAGTGGGAGCCATAAGCCCCACATCGTATATTAAAAAAAAAAAGGTATAATACATTTTACAGACTACAGAGATAGTCTCCCGGCACAAGTATATCCATGGATGAGAAAATATGTTCCTCTAAATGTGGAGGAGCTTCTCAAAGAATTTTGATACCAATGTGTGATATGTTACATCTATGTTGAGAAAACTTCCTACTGACTGAAGAAAATTACTCCTTTCGATGCCTCAAAAGAAAATTTCAGCACAAACGGTCACAAGGACTTCATCCAGTTGAACTCGGATCAGCAGGGCATCGTCTTTCGTCATAAACCAGGCGCGCTTGCCAAATCTTGTTAGGAATGTAAGCTCATGCGTTTGCGCATATTACTCCTGAAAGAGGAGAGAGAGAAGAAAGTTGGTCCAGAAGATAAACGATATGAACTATCTAACTCAGCAGCATCAATAGGCAAGTCTACAATGCATGTCGTCCTTGAAGGAGATCATTGGTAACAATTTAAATTTATTTATTTATTTATTATACCATACGGAAGTGTTGAGTCTACTATAAATATCAAAAGCAGCTAAATAAGCTAAATCATCTAGAAAGAAAGGGATGATGCAGGAAGTCCCGTTTCCTTATTTTTCGCATGAAAGAGAGCGTTGAAACGCATAGCAAAAATGAAGGATGAAAAACCTAGCGGCTCAACCTCTATTTTTTTCATTTCTTTTTCTTGGGGCAACACCATAGCATTCCTCAGAAAAATAGAGGTCAACCAACCTGCGGACTGAGACGAGCAGCAAAACTTCCGTTCATCGATGTGTTTGACATCGAGGCCAATAAACCATGATCCAGCACTGATATCATCATGAGCATATGTACGCAGAATAAACCTTAAAAAACAGCAATATAACGTTAGGCCAGTCCTGCTGGCACGTGTGGCTGCATTTTACATGCTGTTGCTAACAAGAGGGGTAACAGCAGAGAGAACTTACTTGTTCACCGAAACATACTGAGCCAAGGCTCTAGAAATTGCATAAATATCAGAGGAGGCGTGTCTAAAATATCTACATCAGAGAAAAAAAGAAAGAAAAAATCTAATTCTGAGACCGAGGTTGTTGACAAAAGGACATACATCAAACATTTGAGAGGAAAAAATATAGTATCATATAGAAAGCATTAACACACTAAGAGTTTATCCTTTGAAATCCTAAAATATACAATGAGGGTAATCTCTTTTTACAAAAGAACAGTGAACAGAAAAACAAACTGTCATTTACGCACGATTTTGCATTGCCAAACTTCCACCAATCTGGCTCATACCATCTGTTGGTCCTGTATATTAAGACAGCGCAGAAACACACATTACGTTATAATTCGATATTAAAGATGTTTCACAACCTTAAGAAGATGTCACCGAATATATCATGTCGACGAAACTCACGGCTCAGAGAAAACTTCGCCTGATTTCATACACCCAACATAGATTCGAGACTTCTCCAAATAAGTAGAAAGCATTGCTCCCAAGGCATCTGGACAACAGAGGAAAAGAAATAGTTAGCCTGGACTTCCAAACAACTCCCTTTAGCTCACCAGATTCCGTAATGATATTAATAAAAACAGCCCACAAGATCACTATTCTTGCTCTATAGTAATCTTGCTACCGATTATTTTACACGAAGCAATAAAATGTGGGCTATTTTTTTCACTACAGAAGAAATATTAAGAGCTTTCAATATATATTATGTGGTAAAGGAGGGCAAAAGATGCTTTTATCTAAACCATATATCCTTTTGTTCATAACATATGCACAGTTTTGGATCAATCCAGATGAAATTAAAAACTAAAGCATCTTAGTGATATGGGTTGACGTTTCAAGAGTTCTCCAACTTGATTAGCTCAGCTCAGTTCACAAATTGGAAACTGTGATAAAGGGGGAGGCGGTAGAGTAAAAGAGGTCCCCGAGGTTTTCGGACAGATAATAGAATTTCTATAGGACATAAAGTTTCTAGCAGACAAAAATAACCTTATGATAATATGGCTAAAGTGCCAAACTAGACCTGCCTGTGATACTAAAAAGCTTTCCATAAGGACTACATACCAATATTAACAAAAACATCATCATTGACCTTAACAAAAAACTCAGCTTCCCAATTCTCTACAGCATGAACTAGGAATGCCATTATCTTTTTTGAACGCTTCTCCGGAGATTCCTCTTGATCATCCTGTAGGCAAGCCAAAGTCGAATAAGAATCACGTACTGATATACTAATGTATTTCTTTCTTTACACTGCAATTTTTTTTTTTCCATTCTGGTTGATTGCCAAATGCCATTTGTAGATTTTAGAGATACGTTACAATTTTAGCACTTAATATAAGTTGAGACGATTGTATCGTTAGATATGAGACATAACGTAAAGAGTGCATCCAAACAAATTATCAAACAAATTCATCGAATTATTGAACATACAAGAACAATGAAGTCATTTGTATGCTTATTTTCTCGGTCAATTTCCCCGTCCAAACTGTCTTCACGTTTTGAACTGCAGGATACAAAAGTCAACTAAACAGGGAACTCGAAGCAATTCTTGTGATAATTATAAATCATTGCTTTACCGACCTTCTTCCAATTACAAACCGTACAATGATGCCCTTTTTATCTGCAAGTTTCTTTAAAGCTGACCCTACAAAACAATGTATTTACAGATTAATACTACAAAAGGAAAGAAAGGTTGCAAAAGGAATAACAAGATATTCCTACAAAACAATCTGAAACCATATATGAACTGAAAAATGATATTCTTTTCTCGGTCAGAAATGGATCGAATGATCCAATACACACCCAACAATCAGAAGATTCATTGGACACTAAACTACATCAGAATAAGCAACAGTCAAAATACAAGTCTAATCAATTAGAAATACCAAATTGAGTAACAACAAACATCAACTTTAGAAATTGATTACTAGAAAAGTAGAAGACAATAGCTGGGAAGTTCTATGACTGTTTTTGCTGCTCCGCTCAATATTGAAATTGGGAACATCAATGGAAAAATAACACTTTTTTGGAGTATGTAAGAAGGATATAGATCATCCATTCACATCAACTTTACATTTGAAACACGGAAAGAAAAGTGTAGAACTCATAAACAGTTACCTGTTGGCATCCACGCCTTACGAATTGCATCTCTATTTTTTCTGCGCCCAAAGGTCGTAATAATTCCTATTACAGCTAAAAGCTCTTTCCTAGGACGAGCTTCGTCATGTTTTGACAAGCTCTTTGGAACAAAACCTTCCTCTCTAGCTGCAACCAGCTCCTTTTCAAGAGCTGTTAACTTCTTCTGGTGTTCCCTAAAACATTGTCACTGAGGGCCTGAAGTTGAAGTACGCATTGCAGCATACGTATCCATAATATTACTGCTAAAATCAATTTATTACCTGCAGGTTATAACTTGTAGTGTACCGTCAACTGATATTGTTGAATGATCACCCTGAAAATGGAAAATTGCCTAATCAATACTCATGGGGTCAAATTCATCTTTCGTCCTTGATTTTTTAGGCCGAATCCTCAATCCCGTTTTGGTAACTGACTTTTAAAATGTCCCAGAACGAGTTGTTTATCTACCAAATTGTCTCAAACTAGTCATTCCGTCAATTCAACTGGTAAAATCTCAACGAGAAAAGGAGACAGTTTCCTTCTTATGCTTTAACACATGTAAACTCAAGATTGAAAGTTCTATAGGATCCATTCCATGAACTCTTGATACTCTCATTCTCCTAATACCCAATTACATATACTCAAGAGCAAAAAAACTATTCATAGAGTATTATTCATGTTGTGAGTTCGATAAGTTGTCTAAATATCACATAAACTGAATAAAGCTACTATCTTTGAAAATCACAGGACTTGAAATTCTTACTAAATATACACACACACACCTATATATATACCTGAGAAGTTGTCTTATCAAGCTCCTGCATCAAATAAACTCTATCCTCTGCGTCCTGCCAGAGACTAAAACCAATCCATTCCAACCTTATCAAACATTGATCCAACAAATTCACCAACCAAAAACAAATCAAATATTTTCCATTTTCCTTTGAACTCACCGGCCAGCGACGTAAACCGCGGCCATGGTGGCGAACAAGGCGAGGAAAAGAAGCGAAACTGGCGGCCGAGAAGCCGAACCAGAAATCCGGTTCTGAGAATTCCGGCTATGCATTTCAAGCACAAAGCTTTTCACTTTACAGTTTCCAGTGAGTTTTGAGGATGCTTTGGCGTCTGTGAATTCGGGTTTATCAGATCTGGAGGTTGATCTCAATGTCAGACCAGATGAAAGTGAAGTTGAAAAATGGAAATAAATAATGAAATGTGGGTTGAATATCGCGTGGAAGAAAATTTGACAACACCCGGAAGAAGACGACGTTCTAACGAATACTTCAAGGTAGGACTTCATGTTCTTGTTCTTGTTCCCCGCATTTTATCTACAATCTCAATTTAGTCCTTAAACTTTTAAAAGTCTTGAACTTGATCCTGATTTATCACTTTACTTCATTTTAATCTCTCTAATAGCTTGATGTTAAAGAAATATATAATATACATGTGATGCTGACGTAAATAACACTATCTTGATAAAAATATGTACTTGATTATTGAAAATAACACTTCGCTAACAAACCATCATCATAGATTTGTCTGTTAAGGTCAAACTAACAAAAGACTTAAAATTAAAACAAATTGATAGATCAAGGTTAAATTTAAAATGTTTTGAAGGCTCAAAGAATAAATTGAGGAAATTTTTTGCTTCTAAAACCGTGATTAGGATCGTGGTTAGGGTTGGAGTCGGAATCAAACTCGAATTGAGGTCGGGGTCATAAACAAGGGTGGTTGTGTGCTGGATTGAGTTAGGACATGGTCGATCCCAACCTCAACCTTAATGCCAACCTCATCCCACAAACTTAGGGGTTGTTCTTTTCATAATTAAGTCACAACTCAAGTTCTATTGTTACAGTATTTTCTCTCAAAAAATTCAAAATTAATTTTTTTATTATAGTATTTTTTCTCACATAAACAACTTAAGTTGTGAAAAGAACAACCCCTTAGTTTTGGAAAATGATCATTGAATTTGAACTATTGGTCAAATCTTATTATAATCATTGACTTTTAAAGCATTTTTTATAAGTCTTTGATCTACCAAGTTGTTTTAATTTAGTTCTTCTATTCATCGAATTGTTAAAATTTCAACAGAAAAAGTTTGGACTTCTTTCTTAATAACCATGATCTAACATGTAAAACTACAAAATTAATTCCCACTAAACCACACATGGTCCTAAGGTTTTTTTTTTTTTGTTGGTCAAAATTTTAGCAATGTTATGAATAGAAGGACTAATTTGAGATAAGTTTATAGATCAATGAATTGTTCTCTTACGTTTTAAAAATTGTAGATCAAATTAGAACGAGTGTTATTTAGAGACTAAAAATGAGATTAACCCTATGTGGTATGTATTATTAATCTCATTGATAAAAATGTAAATACGATATAGTCTGAGACTTAACGTGAAATTTATCTACTAATGGGCCATATGTAACTTTTGTTAATAAAAATGTTGGTAATCCGTACTATCAATCCTTGGACTTAGGGTAAACCTTAGACTTTGGGTATGATGACATTTTGGTTTCTAAATTTTTAATTTTGATATACTAATTTTAGACTTTTATTATTTGATAGTTTTAGTCTTTGATACTAAAATTAATAATCAATTGTTAAAATTTTACGCGGCTAATCACATCTTTGTTAAATAATTAAAAATTTTATGTAAATAGTTACAACAATTGCAAAAATATTATAATTTTTAAGGAGTTTTAATACTAATAAAGAGAAAATTTTACATATATCATATTTTTTTTTATGTAAAGTTATAAGTGATAAGGCAATGAATACATTATTATCTTTGTTATATTACAAAGTCTATAATCAATTTTAATTTTTAGGGATCAAAATTATAGGAAAAAAAAGTTTAACGATCAATATGTCAAAATTCAAAGTTTAGAGATGAAAATGTCATTATATCAAATGTTTAAGGACGAGGTATCAATCTGGTAAAAATAAAAAGAGGAAAACAAAAAAACAAAAGGGTAAAAAAAGGACTCGTGAGTACTTGCTGATAGGAAGCAATTTATAAGGCGCTTGGCTCAATTTTAATCAATCGTTGGATCCAGGAAGTTTCGCAGTCATCTTCTTCTTTTTCTGTTCTGAATTCATCACTCTCCTCTCGATCTTTACCGTCGATCGCCGAAAATGAACGACGCCGATGTCTCCAGGCAGATCCAGCAGATGGTCCGCTTCATCCGCCAGGAGGCGGAGGAGAAGGCCAACGAGATCTCCGTCTCCGCCGAAGAAGTACGTACGCCTTTCCAATTTCCTTTCTGTAATTTTTAGGGTTTTTTTTTGGGATAATTTCGATTGGTTTCGTGTTGTGAATTTGGAATTTTGAATGGAGGATTTGTCAATTTTGCTTTATTTTTTGCGGAATTGATTGGGGAATTGTGGGCGGTTGTTTTCAGGAATTCAACATTGAGAAATTGCAGCTAGTTGAGGCGGAGAAGAAGAAGATCAGGCAAGAGTACGAGCGGAAGGAGAAGCAAGTCGATGTTCGAAAGAAGATGTGAGATTTACTGAAATCTTATTTGTCTTATTTGATTTGTTTTTCTGTGTGTTCTGGTGTAGTTGGAATGGTACGAATTGTGTCAAATGGGTATTTAGATCAAGTGTACTGACAACTGATAATAGTAAAAGATCTGATTGGTTTATGATTGATCAAAAAAGCTGTATGGAATCAGAAAGCACGCTTTTGTTAATTTTGTGTTTTGTGTGTGATGGGATTCGTTTTGAATCCTGATATCTGTTGACGATGAAATTCAGATTCGGAAATAGCCAGTGCGACTTGAACGGGTGAAATAATCTGTAGATTTGAACATTGGGGGTAATGGGTTAGAAAAAGATGGTTGCTTTTGCCTTTTTGTTTTCTTATTGATTTGGACAGGCCATAGTAGTTTGGAAAGAGTAGTGACAGTGACTTAAGTTATGGCAAGAAGTTGGGAGAAGTGGGTTTTTAGGAAACTGTTTAAAACTGTTGTAGATTTCTAGAAATTGATGCACGGGTAATCAAGTTCCCAATTCCAGCATAGCTCAATTTGTTTGGCTAGAGAAGAGGTTCATTAATTTTTACGTGAGTAATCAAGTTCTCAACTCCGGCATAGTTCAATTTTGTATAGAATGGGTTCATTTGGCGAGTCTTTACCTCTTTGTGCTTTAATGTACAATACTCTAGACCCGGAGAGATAATGTTATTTTATTGGACTGTTGCAGTGAGTACTCCATGCAACTCAATGCTTCTAGAATCAAGGTTCTCCAAGCTCAGGACGATGTGGTTAATTCCATGAAGGAGGTAGCGGCCAAGGAGCTGCTGAATGTGAGCAGAAGTCACCATGTCTATAAAGAGCTTCTGAAAGGTCTTATTGTTCAGGTTAGTAGGTTTTTCAATTAATTTAGCTTACTTAATAGGATATTGTCTGTATCTAGATGCAGCTTTCAAGAAGTTACGTGAACGGTTGGTAATTAGAAATTAAGAATATTCTTACTATTGCCTACTACTGAAGCACTCTGATTTTGCATTACAGAGTTTGCTCAGGTTAAAGGAGCCTGCTGTCTTGTTGCGTTGTCGGGAACATGACCTTTCTCTGGTTGAGTCTGTGCTGGAATCAGCTGCAGAGGAATATGCAGAGAAAGCAAATATTAGTCCACCAAAGATCATAGTTGACAGTGTCTATCTTCCACCTGCTCCTAGTCATCACAATGCCCATGCCCTTTTCTGGTATTTATTCTTTTATATTTTAAATTGAGATTCCTATATATTTTCTTTTATACAAAAGTCAGCCGTGTTACTGTCATGAGATGTATGATAGCCAGCTGATTAGAACAAGATTTGAGTTGTCTTGCTGATGAGTTTTCTTTCCCCAATAGTTCTGCTGTAAATGAACATTAAAAGTAAAGTCTGCTTAATGCTTATGATTCTTTTTCTTGGTTGCGCAGTTCTGGAGGTGTGGTGTTGGCTTCTCAAGATGGCAAGATTGTGTGTGAGAATTCCCTTGATGCACGTTTGGATGTTGTATTCCGTAAAAAGCTTCCAGAGGTACTTATCTAAATACCAACTGTGTCTTTTACTTATCTCATGCCTTTGCGTTCTATAAAAAATAAAAATCTTTCAATTGTCTCATGCCTCTGTGTCTACTACTGCAAATGTTCTGCTCATATGGTGACAGTAAATCTAGTTCGTTGCTTGTAAAAATGGTGATGAAGGGGCAAATATAAGGATGAGTTTTTTAGTCATACACGGATTAGACAATATTCACTCATGCTCAATGTCTGCGTATTCAAAGTCAAAACAAGTAGAAACTAGAAACAGAAAGAGAGCAAAGAAAAATAAAAGAGTAGACTATGTGAACCTGGTTAAATAGCCAATATCAGGCAGCTTTTTATTGCTCTTGCCTTCTCACCGTTGCATTTGCCGGTTGTTATTTTTATTGGTAAAATACATACGGAATGCTATTGCCATGGTTGAACTTTGAAGTTTTATGCTTAAAAATGTATAATTAGTTAGTAATTGGTAAACTCAGACACATTAGGAGTAATCAGATTCGAGTTCTAAGCTTTATTATGATCTTCTGCATAAGTAACTGGACTCTTTCAAAGCATGTTATTTGACAGATTGATGAGGTTATGTGGTAGGTTAGGTGATTATTACTTTCGTTTCTGTAATCATGCTTGAGTTTAAGCTTCTTTCAATTTCTATTGCAGATCCGCAAGCGGCTCTTCGGTCAAGTCCTTATTGCATAATGGGATGATGGGTTGTATTGCTCGTCACTCTTAAGATTATTTATTGTTTAATCCTAAAACTTGGTCATGGAACCATGTGATGTATTTTTAAATTGCTTGTTTGTGTTATCCCAATTTTCTTTACTCCGAATAACTTCTTTGCCAAGTAGCTGTATGTTGGTTTGGTTCTCATCTCATCTGCGTTATAGAAGTACTTATTCTTGGCACCGATGATATAAATAAAAGTTTCCAGCTTGAGAGCATTTTGTTGAACATGCTTCCAGGTGATTGGCATTTAAACTCACGCTTTTCCCTCGAGAAAAAACTTTGATTCATTATGCTAGAATCATAAACATTGGCCTCAAAGACTCGTCTACCTAAAATATGAGGTGATACATTACATGTTCACAAAGACCTCCCAGCCAAGTCTTAACAATTGATAGATTGTCAAACTCTTCACAATAAGGCTTTGACCACTGATAATATAAAGCAGCTTTCAGTGCGATTCCAATCGCCAGGATTTCAGCCTCCGAGGAGCTACCGGCGCACACTAGCTTTGCACGGGGGCTGACCACCTCTGCACCATCATTCTGAAACATAAAGGCACGAGAAGCTCACCCTTCCTTAAAAGCTGCATCCACATTAGCCATGATGGCAGTTTCACGAGTCGAATCCAAAGGGTGGAAGCTGTTGGTAATCCTCTGCTTATGGTATTGGCACATTATCTTCGATGTGAATGCCGATACCGACGCTACATATTGGTACACGAAAATGATATGTTTTGACATGTTCATTTTGTACTCTGATGCATAATTATTATTTCAAATGTCACATTTATTTTTCGTCATTTTAAGTTTTGGAACATGCAGAGGTAATATCGTGTTCTTGAAAGGACAACAGTAAGCAAACTTCAGCGAGAGGGGATATGTCGGTTTCTCGAACGGCGACAAATTCTAATACGAGATTAAATGAGAAACAAAAAATTACTTGAGAAACGACGTAAAACTTATTAAATATAAACTACATTTTGATTTCATCAATACGACACAAGTCCTAGGATCCTAGGCTGTAGCCTTCGAAAAATGAACTACATGTCGTTTTACCTGAAGAACATGACCTAATACAGAAACGAGATGTCGTCTTATTACTTAAACAAAAGAGAAAAAAAAAAAAAAAAAAAAGAACTCTAATAAACGACATGAAGCTGCTTAGCCACACTTCTAATTTCATACTCTCGATATTTACATTTAGATAATACGCTATTAAAAAATCTAGATCTTTTCAATCAGTAATTTTTTCAATGTTAAATGCTTACTTTAGGGTGGGAAATTTTTATACAAAATCACAAATATTTCCTTTAGCCAAAAGAAAAAAAAATCTCTAATATTCTCTTTCAGATCAAATTTTTTTTTTTTTTTTCCTTTCTTCAGAAAATGACCTTAAAATAATTTCAAATTAGCCCTCAGGTGACTGGCACATGACACATTAGGCTACTAATTAGATAATAATAATTATTATTTATATAAAATTTAGAGTAACGTACTATTTATTATTAAGAGCAAATGTAGGGGTCAGATTGAGAGTGAGTCTGAAATTTAAGGCTTAACTACTATTTAAATTAAATGTTGGGGTCAAATTTACATTTAGACTATATTTTAGGGGTATTTGTGCAAATAATCGTTTTCCATTTTGCAGTAACAAATGGTTCTAAACCCCGTTGTGCCCAAGCCCGGATCATCATCTTCTTCTTCTTCACTACACCCGAGTCCTGAGGAGCCCCGAGAAAATCACTGCCGACAGGTTAGTACACTTCTTTTACGCAAATCAATATAACACTAATAAAGAATCAGTTTCTGCATCGAAGGTTTTAACTTTAACATTTTTTTTCCTTCTTCAATAACTCTCTCTTCTCTTCTCTCTCCATTTTCAACCTTGACCGACCTAAACCCAAGGTTGCAGAGAAACTGAGCAAAACCAATGGTGCCCAGAAACTCCAATTGCTTTTACATGTTTTTTTTTTTTTTTTGCTAATCAACTTTTACATGTTTTTAGTTCTAATATATTTGCGCTCTTTTAAGATTTCTGCAATATTAGACCTTTATCTGCAGCCAATTCCTCTACTTGATGTGATAATCTGCTTGTAAGTGTATGTTTCTGGTTGTCACTTTATTCTTTTTGTTTTGGGTTTTTGTTTATTGGGTAGGAGTCGTTTTCTGGAGAAAATCCTTCTTTCTTATCTGGGTCTATTCCCTTTCTTAAAGTTTTTATTTTTTTTATTTCTTTTTCCTTCTGGAGATATTTTTGTTTCTGTTGGTTTGGATTTCACAGGTGAATGCTAAATGGCCTTTGTTTTTTTAATTAAAACTTATCTGATCCGTTTTGAATTTTATTTGTGTTTCTTATCACTTTCTAGTGTATAAATGGATGAACTTTTTGCGTCATAAATTTATGATTAGATGTTGTGGAATAAAAGGAAGAGCATTTCTAAGCTATGTGGTTTTTTATTATTTGTAAATACTTTTCTTTGGTTCCTATTCCAAGCTTCTTATTTGTTTTTGTTTTTGTTTTTTTGGTTCTTTTTTTTTTTTTTTTTGGTTTTTTTCCCCGTCCATTTATGCAGATTTCGACACTTATGAATGGCTTGGAGGGTACTTGAGAAAAAGGTAAATTGATGTATTGAGTCTGATCCTCTCTCTATCTCAACGACAAAAGTGGTTTTTACATGGATTAATGTACGTAGTTGTTATTTTGATTTGGCAGAAATTGAAAGTTGGTTAAGTAGTTTAATCTGATCTATTCTCATGTCCTGATTTGTCTTCAAACTTCAATGTTTTACTTAATATCTTCTGTAGGGAATACATTCAAGTCTTGCTAGAGCTCTAAAGTCAACACAGCAAAGACATGAAGTAGGGTTGGTTACTTCATCAGTTCCTGGGGATGCAGCGAAATCAGTTTCTGCCTTACTCGGATGCGTATCAGGTAGATCAAAATGGCTGACGTTCTTTCATATGATACTTTAGGAAGAAAATTAACTTATGTGTTACTTAAATCTTGGCTACTTGGGCTGCTTCTCCCATTATATTTGGATGTTTATCTTACGTGTTGCGTGACCCTTAATAAATTAACAAAATAATTGCTTGTTTCTGAAATTTGTTCTCCAGATACCTTTTTTGTCTCACTATCACAGGCACGGGGTTCTGATCATTGTGAAAAATTGACAAAAGAACTCCAACTTCGGTGAGTTTGCACAATTCTTTTTATTTGGTTCTACTCTTTAAGAAGTTTAGGCTTATGTGCTCCAGTGTTATCACCTCTGCATTGAAGTATGTATGTGTCTGCGTTTACAATGAGGTGCCCATTTCTTTTTAGTTATTTTGGGATGTATAAGATGTAGGCATTGTTAGGCTTACATTGTGCATTGGCCCTAGTCGAAGTAATGTTTGAATTTAGCACTAAGTTCCAAATGGTAGAAAGCATGCAGAAAAAATTCTCCATGAAATGTCGAATAAATGAAAAGAAAAGAGAAACGAACTTCAGAAACTGATTAGTGCAGTGGTTATAAAAATCACTGCCCTAAATGGTGTGCATCAATTTTCGTAGGAAAAAAAAAAGTGTTGTTTGTAGTAACTGGTAAACAATCTATTATTCTTCACTCCTATTCATCCTAGTAGGAGGAATTTGTTCATTTACATAATAATATAATGTTGCTTATTTGATATTTGATGGTGGAAATATCTTAGGTGTTATCATGCGAGCACAAGATTATGTGCAAGAATGAGAGGTGCTGAGGCGGCTGTTGGTCTGAAGGCTCCGGAAAGAGGGAAGTTTGTGCAAAAGGTCAAGAAAAGCCAGCCACCTGTTGAAGCTCCATACATACCTCCACGAATGCAAAAGCCTACGAAATCGCTGGATAAAACAATAGACATATTTGAGGGGATGACACTTGTGGAGTTTGCGAAACGTACTGGGCAGTCAGTGGCCACTCTGCAAAATATCCTTATAAGTGTTGGGGAAAAGGTTATCTCAGAGTTTGATACTCTCAGCATCGATGTTGTGGAGCTGGTAGCAATGGTATTTTCCGCTTCTAGCTCTAAAATCTTTTGAACTTGTACACTAGTATAATTGAGTTGGTTTTGGAGATAGTAACTCAAAACCTTGTGTTTTTCTGCTCTTTACAGTTTCTCTCCCTGATAATATATGTTAAGTACTGCATTTTGGATGCTTTAGAAACTTAAAAAGGATCCTTAATTATTATTATTTGCTTTCTTTCTTTTCAGGAAGCTGGGATCAATGTAAGGAGGCAACACTCGAATGAAGGTGCAGAGATTCTTCCTCGGCCTCCAGTTGTAACTGTTATGGGTCATGTTGACCATGGGAAAACTTCTCTTTTGGATGCTTTACGCCAGACGTCGGTGGCTGCTAGGGAAGCTGGGGGCATAACTCAGCATCTTGGTGCTTTTGTGGTTGCCATGCCATCTGGAGCGTTTATCACGTTCCTTGATACACCTGGTCATGCAGCATTTAGTGCGATGCGAGCAAGAGGTGCTGCAGTCACAGATATAGTTGTGCTTGTTGTAGCTGCTGATGATGGGGTAATGCCTCAGACTCTTGAAGCCATTTCTCATGCAAAGGCGGCCAAGGTACCAATTGTCGTTGCAATTAATAAGTGCGATAAACCAGCTGCTGACCCAGAAAGAGTAAAAGTCCATCTTGCTTCAGAGGGCGTGCTGCTAGAGGATATGGGTGGAGATGTTCAGGTGGTTCGTGTTTCAGCACTGAAGAAAACAGGATTAGATGACTTAGAGGAGGCTTTGCTTCTCCAGGCAGAGATGATGGATCTAAAAGCGCGAGTTGACGGTACTGCTCAAGCTTATGTGGTGGAGGCAAGACTTGACAGAGGAAAGGGTCCACTGGCCACTGCAATAGTGAAAGCAGGGACTTTGGTATGTGGGCAGCTTGTGGTCGTCGGCTCACAGTGGGGTAGGATAAGAGCAATTAGAGACATGTCTGGGAAGTTAACGGAGAAGGCAAAACCTGCTATGCCCGTTGAGATTGAAGGGTTGAAGGGTTTGCCAATGGCCGGTGATGATATTGTTGTTGTGGAGTCTGAGGAGCGAGCCAGAATGCTCAGTGAAGGGAGAAAACGGAAATTTGAGGCTGATAGACTTAGAAAGATTAGTGAGGGGAGGGAAGAAGTTCCAGAAGAACAATCAGAAGAGGCTCCTAAGCGGGTTGAGATGCCAATAATTGTAAAAGCAGATGTTCAGGGTACTGTCCAAGCTGTTACGGATGCATTAAAGAGTTTAAATAGTCCTCAGGTATACCATAAGCACACAAAACACCAACTCTAGAATCTTCTTTGGCCTTCCAAATATGCCAGAGGACAGTCGCACATTTATGGTTGAGATAACGTTTTGGCTTTTACTGAAATTCTTCATTTTCATTGCCCAGGTTTTTGTTAATGTAGTACATGTTGGTGTTGGGCCTATTTCTCAGTCAGATTTAGACTTGGCACAAGCATGTGGCGCTTGTATAGTTGGATTCAATATAAAAAGCCCACCTAGCTCCATCAGTTTGGAAGCTACTCAAGCCGGTATAAAGGTACAATCCCCTGTCTTTGGAATGCTGGTTTTTGCTTGAAATATTGGTCTTGCTTCTCGGGTAACTACCAAATCATACGAAAATACATTATTTTCATCGTTGTGCAGGGGCGTTGGAATGTCACGTACTCTTGCTCTAAAGCATTCTTTTAGCTTTATAAAGTACAATGAAAACATGCTAAGTTTTAGCTTATGTATATTTCTTTGATTGGTTAGATATTTCTGCACCGTGTGATCTATCACCTTTTGGAGGATGTCGGCAATTTGATTGTAGACAAGGCCCCCGGGACTCCTGAAACCCATGTCGCTGGGGAGGCTGAGGTGCTGAACATCTTTGAGATTAAAGGACGCAAAAAGGGGAATGCAAAGATTGCTGGATGCCGGGTGCTTGACGGACAATTAACCAAAACCTCAACCGTAAGGCTTCTGAGAAGTGGGGAGGTCATGTTTGAAGGACCCTGTGCGTCTCTCAAGCGAGAGGCGCAGGACGTCGACGCGGTGAAGAAGGGGAACGAGTGTGGGGTCATCATCGAAGATTGGAATGACTTGAGGGTTGGAGACGTCATTCAGTGTTTGGAGCAAGTGGTAAGGAAGCCAAAGTTCATTTCCTCCCAGAGCGGTGCTGTTCGGATAGAATGCTGATGACTGATTTTTGGTGCTGTTCGGATAGAATGCTGATGACTGATTTTTGTTTCTCATTTATAGCTATTCAGATATAGTTTGTTTCTCCTCTAGTTGCTACTTCACATATTCCTGATAAGGTAGAGCTCGACCTGATGGGGTTCATCCACACATTTTAAAAATTTTGCTTGCCAAGCTATATGTACTTTAAGAAATCGCATTCAAATTTACTCTGTAGTCATTTTTGGAAGATCATAGTGAATATCTTTACACAAGTTTTGGTGTAAATTTGTTGTACCATGAAGAATCAAATTATAATTGTAAGAAATAACGGTGAATGAAATATCAATGCCTTAACTTTCTGCTTCATATGTGTTATATACAAGTTAATCTATATTCACTATATATGCATGCTCATTCATTAATGTTAAATATCTTAAGCGGGAAAGACGATGAAACGTTGACGGACAGGTTAGTCAAGACATAACAGGGTGTATAATACTATGTTTGATAGTAAAAACATTTTTTTTTCCCTTTCGTTTTCTCAAAAGTAGTACAAACAAAAGTTAGTGGTTTGGTATTTTCCGAAAAAAAAAAAAAAAAGGGTTATTGGTTTAATTATTGAGATGATCCATAGCCTTGAACCAAAGTTCTTTACTACAAAGTTGATAGAAAATAAAAGCTTATTTGGTAACTTTCATCATTTTTAACAAGAAGGTCATTGAAGTAAGAGAGAGAAGCGACAAATTTTTCTTCAACTCCAATCCAATATTTCATTAAAATAAAAAAGACAATACAGAAGAGGATGACAAGTGAAGCCTAAGGGAATTAATAATGCATTATTTTTTAGTTTCTTAGGAAATTTCTTTTATCATTCTTAGTGGTGCATGCTTTTCATATAAAATAATTAATTAGCTTACTCACATGGATTGAAAGTTTGGGATAAATTATAATAAAAGCTCATGATATGCAACTTTTTAGCAAAAAATAAATTAGAATAAAAATTCATGGTCCACAACTTTAGCAGAAAAATGAATTAAAATAAAAGGTCGTGATATGCAACGATTAACAAATCGCATTAATAGCTAGCAGTATACTTTTAGACAAATATTTAATAAATGCTATTGTATTTATCTTTTTTAAACAATGTTGAAAGACATTAGTCGTTATAACTACACATAAAAATAAAATGTGAATCCCGCAGCATATAGAGCCTGCAAATATAACCTACACCGGCTGTGGTCACCAGTACTTGCCATTTTTTCATCTTATCTATCATGTGTTTTACCTGTTTTATTTTCTCTGTTGATTTTGGACTTCGTTGCACGTTCATCATCAAGAAAATCAAAGAAATCTATTGGGTATAACTGAAAAAAGTATTAGGTATTTGAAGGGAGCCATAAACGTTTTCTAGCGGGGGCTATAATTGAAAAAGATACTAGTAATGACTAGTGAGATTATAGGATTAAATTTTTAAAATTTAGTAGAGGTTATGAATACATCACCACGTCATCGAATTTCTATATCTAAAAGTAACCACCGATAAAAACGTAACCATTAAAAATTTATCTATATATTTAACTCGTCTTTATATATATATAAAAGAAAAATAAGTAGGTTGGCACCGCTCATATTTCCTTGTGCGGCTGTCCTTTAGCTTTAGAACTTGGAATTAAGAAAATACCAACTACGACTATAGAATTAAAGAAATCTTTGTGACAAGGACTGTTATAAGTAAAGATCCACGCTTTCAATATTTAATATGATATTGTCCCCGAAATAATAAAAGTCGAACAAGATTTTTAAACCAAATGGACTTATATTTTAGGAAATAATATCCTTGGTCATAGCTCTAAATATATATCTTGGTAATCATATTTCTAGTTTTTTGAAGCAAGTTAGTTGAAAGCACTATCTTATTTGCCATATCAAAATCTTTCAGAATCTGTTTTTGCTGGTTTATGAACAACTTCATATTTTGCTTTGTCTGTTTAATCTTTGAAGCTACTTTTGCTGCAATATATCAACAGAAGACCTGACTAATTGGTTTGTGCTTGTCCTTCATTCTTTGTTTTGCTTTCTTTTCCTTTTTCATGGTTCTCTTAAAGTATAAAATCAGGCATTATGTGATTTGTTTCTAGAACCAGTTTACGGCTACAAGCATTTTTTTGTCATTCTATAAATCGAAAAACAAATTGGGATTCCACTGAAAATGGAGACATTGATGATTTTTTTTTTTTTTTTAATAATAATGAAACAATGAGAATCAAGGGAAAAAAAAAAAAAAAAAACGAGACACTTCAGAAATGCTCTCATGTTTCATTTCATAACTGTGCCACTACAAAGAAGCTAAACACAAGAAAATTTGAAATTAAGTGATCTTTTTTTAGTAACTTTTGTTGACTTTGCAGATTTCCCATGTTTCACTGATATAGAACATCATGAAGAAGAATGACTCAACTGTGTTCTGCAACATTTCTGGGTGTTCAAATGCAGCAGAAGATAATTGCAGTTCTTGGTTTTTAGCTATCATCGATCGCAATTCATGTCTCAATCATATTTTGGTCATTTCATTTGATATTCTGCTCCTCCATCGAGTAATCTCAAAGAAGACTTCATCATCCGTGTTGGCGTCTCGGAAAGTACCTCCACTATCTGTATTCTCAGCCATTTTTAATGGTATTTTGGCTTTGGCTTCGCTTATAGTATATGGACATTCATAGCGAAACTGAAAACAGATGGGACAATTTTACCACTGTATAGATGGCTAGTACCTCAAATCCAAGGCTTAACATGGTTGATTCTAAGTTCAATCATAAGCCTAAGGAAGATGCATCTTTCACATACTGCAACAGCGAAAACTTTCTCGATTTTCGCTTTCTTGCTTGGAGCGTTTCTGTGCATGTCATCTCTCTCTGAAGTGATCCTGACAAAGCAGCGTCCATCGAGATGGTCTTAAATGTTTTATGTGCTCTGGAGCAATTCTCTTGATCCTATGTACCTTTTTAGGATCAAACTATGCAAATACTTATCAAGAAATTGGTGATATTGATGCTTCCTATGGACTATTACAAGATGGTGAAGCTGATGATGAAGGAGAAACCAGTCCAAATGGTAATGTAACGCCGTTTGCAAGAAGTGGATTGTTAAGTACAATCTCCTTTTGGTGGTTGAATCCATTGATGAAAAAGGGTAAGGAAAAGGTGCTTCAAGATGAAGATATTCCAAAGTTAAAACAAGAAGATCGAGCGCAAACAATGTACTCAATGTTTACTGAGCAATTAAACAAAAAGAAGCTAAGAGGATCGTCTGATCCTCCATCAATTCTGTCAACAATCATATTGTGCCAGGGAAAGGCCATTTTCGTTTGCGGGTTCGTTGCTTTGATCAAAGTTCTTACCCTGGCAAGCAACCCACTTTTCCTTTCAGCATTTACTAGGGTTGTTGAAGGAAACTCTGCCTTCAAATATGAAGGTTATGCATTGACTGCTGGGCTGTTCCTTGTGAAGATTATGGAGTCACTTTCGGAGAGGCAATGGTACTTCAGAAGCCCTCCAAGTAAGATCTTTATTATCTGCAGCTATATATCAGAAGCAAATTCAACTCTCTAATGCTGCTAAGATAGTAAACTATGTCACTGTTGATACTTACAGAATAGGTGAATTTCCATTTTGGTTTCACCAGATATGGTCTACAATCCTACAATTGTTTCTAGCATTAGCCATCGCTTACTTTTCTGTGGGGATAGCAATTTTTTCAGCTTTAACTCTACTTGTATTGGTTATGCTTGGAAGTTCTCCATTGGCCAAGTTGCAACATGATTATCAGGCTAAGTTCATGGTAGCTCAGAACGAACGGCTAAAGGACTTGTCAGAAGCACTTACAAAGGTGAAGATATTGAAGTTGTATTCCTGGGAGACCCATTTCAAGAATGTCATTGAAAGATTTAAGGAATGAAGAACTCAAATGGATATCCAAAGTATTGATGCAAAAGGGGTACTATACTGTGTCGTTCTGGTCATCTCCTATACTAGTGGGAGCTTTTACTTTCTGGACATGCTATTTCCTTGGAATCCAGCTCTATTCTAGCAATGTCTTCACATTTCTAGCAACTTTGAGGCTTATTCAGGAGCCAATCAGGCTGATCCCCGACATTTTCAATGCTTTTGTCGAAGCAAAAGTTTCTTTTGCTCGGATAGCGAAGTTCCTTGAAGCACACGAGTTGGAGAACAGAAAGACAAGGCAAGATTATAGTGGCAAAGTGCTTGATCAATCTGTCATTGTTAGGTGCTCCGAAATCTCATGGGACACTAAACCAGGAGAAAAGTTGGCCATTTGTGGAGAGGTTGGATCCGGAAAATCAACCCTTTTAGCAGCAATTCTTGGAGAAGTTCCCCACATCATGTACCGCTCATTTTTAAGCATACGGTGAATAAAATATTGTCATATAGTGCTCTAAATAAATATTTATGTGTGAGTGGATATACCTATAAAAACATGATAGATGTAATTCTTCTAAGAATATTATTTAGGTTTAAAACGACAGTGGGTTACGACAGTCATTTATTAATGTGCCTTTTAATATTGTTCATATAATTATTCGTGACAGGTGCACATAACGATTGTTTATTGCTATATATTTAAAAACGACTTTTAATTTTTAAAATAGTAACTGTTACGACTTAATATAAGAAAATTACGTTAAATTTTCAGTCGATTACGATTGGCTCATGGGTTCGTTATGATGGCACATGGGGACTTGTTCCCCATTTTCAAACTGGGGGACTATAGACAACTCTTTATTTTTTTTTTTTAATATGGTATGAAAAAATAAAATTGGTAGAAGGAGAAGTTTTATTATTAAGAATATTTTGGAAAACTTGGACAATGGTAGCAGAAGTTATTGTGAAAAAATAACTCCTAACCTATTTTTTAAATTTTGTTGTGGGATTGTAGTTTTTAAAAGTTGGTGCACAAAAACTCGATTTACCAAACACTCTTATATGATGTAACTTCTTAAAAAAAATAAAAGCGGTCTCTAAAATGCCAAACGGGCCCACAAATAATGTGTTTGTGCCTTAATTAAATGGGGCGTGTTAGATACGACACGACTTATTTAAAGGAGAAAACTAAAAATACCACTTAAAAAGATAAAAAAAATATTATATTTATGTCACACAACAAAAAATAAACCTTGCCATTCAATTACAGATCGGATTAACTTTTGACGTATTCAATCTAAAAGTTGCTTTTGAACATATTTAGATTGATAATCTTAAGATACTTTTGATTTTTTTAAGCAATTTTATAACAAGTCATCGTTTTAATACTTATAAAAAAAAAATTTACTTACATTTTTAACATTTTATTTTTATACAATAAATTAAATATTCCCTCAGTATCATTTTATTACATTAAGAACATTGCCACTTAGACTTAAAAGACGTCTAAATTTTTAGATACTCATCCTTTAGTATGTACACTCTACTACTAATTCAATTACTTCCACTTTGTTGCTCGTTTATTGACAATATCCTCACTAATACATTTATTTCACCGATGCGAGTTTAGAATTTGAGTTTTGCTACAGTAAAAAGCTTTCAGAAACATGCACATCTAACTTTTTTACTACAATAAAAAGCTCTCATATAAAGTTACATCTCAACTCGAATCAGCGAACTAAACGGGCCCTTAATTTCTTTCACATTGTCAAATCTATCTGGTTGGGATTAAATTAATTTTTGGCCGCTTGTTATTATTCTACAACACTTACATCATGCATCAAGATGTATATGGTCACCGAAAGACTTTCCTTTGTAATATTTCGTTGATGGTTTCGTGTTGTTCTACGATAGCTTCAGGTATTACAAAATGTTATTGATTATGTGTCCTATAAGACAACTCTTTAATTGTTTATGTCAAATCTTTAAACCCTAATTTTATTCAACAGTAGTTTCAGATATTACATAATGTTGTCGATTATGTGTCATTTTAAGTACGTCCGTGCTTTATTATATGTTACTTAACAACTGAGGTTATAATATCTCATGTAATTTTTCTAAAACTATTCTTTACATTTATTTTCTACTGTTTTATTTTCCTTTCTCATACTATGAAATGACATTTCAATTCAATTATATGAAACACCACAATTCAAGTAATGTACATTTAATACGTTATTTGTTCACATTCTTCACGTAAAATATACACGTTTAAATGCTACTTTGTCATTGCTATTAGAGTTGTCCTTCGCTCTATGTACGGGTTCAACTTATTTTAAACAGGGTCAATTACATTCATGTCCCCCACCGACTAGGTGTGGAATTAGTGACGGAATCGGCCTTTTACTTTAATGGAGATGTATATTAAAATTTTTTTAATAAATTATCTTAATAGAGACATATAAAAAATATATTTATTTTAATAGAGATATATATTATTTCAGTGAAGACTTAAGTATAAAATTTTTAAATTTTTAAAACCGCTCGCTCATTTTCAAGTGGCTCCGCCGTTACTTCTAACTGCCAATCTCACAGAAGATGCCTTCCGTTACATTCAATCTGTCATTAACACTTGATCATATTCTTTGACAAATAGACTTTTCCAGCCTACAAAAATTAGATGCCGCTCCAGTCCGGTGCCGGACTGGAGACTAGGCCGTAATACATAATACATACTATAGAATCGCATGCTTCTGAATCTCATAAGTTATAGTATCCTAAGGAAAAAAAAAAAAAAAAAAACAACTAGAGAAATGCTACCGTATGTCATTTTTTGCTGACGTTTGTCATCTTGTTTGGTTTCTTATGAGACATTTAGTTCATGGATTAGAATCATGATATTATAATTATTTTCAACTTATGTGTATTTTTTATGAGAGAAAACACTGTAACGAACCATGAACTATGATTCAAATCATAGTATGAATCTTCTTACCAAACGTCTCCAGTGAAAAGCTTTCAAGAAATTAATAAGTACTAGTACAGAAGCGCGTCCTTTCGGACGTGCGCGGAAATTAGTTTTGGTAATTAATTGACTATAAATATATTTGTCATTAATTTTTTGCTTTAGTTAAAAAATAATTATTAAATGCAGATTTTTTTAACGAGATAAGTAGAATTTAAATGATGATCATTTTTAGTTATTCATGTTAATTTTAAATCGTTGTAATAACTTGATCAATTTAACTGCTTATTTTAAAACTATAATAACAGAAAAGGTTAGAAATATTTTAATAATTACACAATTTGTGTGAAACCTATTTTCCTTTACAGACAATTATCTTTAAATAAGGAAACGGACGTGCGTGGAAATTAGTTTTAGTAATTAACTGACTATAAATATGTTTGTCACTAATTTTTTTTACTTTAGTTAAAAAATAATAATTAAATGTACAGATTTCTTTTACAGGATAAGTAGAATTTAAATGATGATCAATTTTAGTTATTCATGTTAATTTTAAATTTATGTAATAACTTGATCAGTTTAACTGATTATTTTAAAACTATAATAACAGAAAAGGTTTGAAATGTTTTAAGAATTAACACAATTTTTATGAAACCTATTTTCTATACAGGCAATTATCTTTTATTAAGGAAAATGTTTCGCTTCATGAACTCATTGTTCTAGCGATATGCTTGAACGCGTTCTCTAGGATCTACATTTGCCTAATAGTAAGAAATTATCGACCAATTCGAGATGAGGAGAACACTAAAAAGATGTTTGTTTCAAGAGTTCGTCTCTGGTTCTAAATTATAGTTCTTAGTTCTTTACAGTATTTTTTTCTCATAAAAAGTTTAAATTTTAAAAATCAGAATCATAAATCATAATTCTGAATCTATAAATTAAACGTCTCATAAAATTAATTTATAATTATCCTCTTTTTGTTTTAGCCTTTTCTTTGCGATATATGTGTTTGCTTCCATGCATGTTAGACACCTGTATGTAGCTTGTGTTCAATTGATGCAAAAAATTAAATGCATTAACATAAAGTAAAAAGTAAAAGAAAAGGGAAAAAAAATAACAAAACGAAAGAGAGCAAGCAACCTTCCGTGTCAAAATAAGATACATAACGTCAATTTGATAGTGTTGTAAATTTTTAAAAAAAATATTTTAATTGTATTGAAAAAAATAGTTGAGTATTTGATAAATTATAAGTATACAATTTTTGATTTTAAGCGTATTATGAGTATTATAAAAGTTTCATTAATTGTACTTTAAAATGAATACTACACAATTTAAAAATTAAAATTATCTTTAGGCTGCTTTTAATTTTGACTGTAAATTTTTTAAAAATTCTTTAAGAACTACTTTTATAGTTTATACCAAACACAAATCTCAACTGTGAATGACTAAAAAATTAATTTTCAGCTCTAAAAATCACCAACATACCCATAGCCGTATAGAATACACTAGCGGAGCAAACGAACAAATTTATAAACTTACATAAATTCATTTTGAAGAAGCAAATAAACAATAGAGAATAACTTAATATACATTTTCAAAAATACCAAAATATAATTTCATTTTTTTTATCTAAAACATTCTTTAAGAAAAATAAGCACACAAATTTCAAAACAGTCCTAGCATTATTCTCAAAAATTTCTCATTTCATTCTCATTAAAAAAAATTTTGATAATTACCAAACGATCCTATAAATTTCTCATTTTCATTCTCATACAAAAAAATAATAATAATAATAAATAAATAAATAAAATGAAAACAATACCAAACGGGTATTATAAGTTTACCTCTACTCTTTATATTCTCCAATAAATTTCCAATCCACCGCTTCATTATTTTATCATTGTTATCTATACGTAAACTAACTACCAAGGAGGGAGCAGAAAGAAAAACCAAAGGTGTTACAAATTAACGACAATAAATCAGTGTAAAAAAACACAAATAATAATTATAAAAAAAAAAAGTTGACGAAAGAGAATCCACGCAATTTCAACTCGTATCCCCAGAGGACCACAATCTCAATGATTTCTCAATGATGTCTCATTGATGTCACAAGCATGGAAGCTTCAGTACCATCTCTTTCCCACTAGCTTTGGTTCTGCAAAATTGCCGCCATGAGCCAAAACCTCGCCGGCGATGATATGGACGTGACGCCTTACGCCGTGAGCGGATGGCTCGGTACGACGACGTTTTGGTGGCTGAATCCGCTGATGAAGAAGGGCAAGAAGAAGGTTCTTCAAGAAGAGGACATTCCGCGTTTGAGAGAACAAGATCGAGCGCAGACATTGTACGCAGTATTTACCGGGCAACTGAACGAGAGAAAATCTCCGATTCTGTCGACGATCTTCTTCTGCCATAGAAAGGAGATTCTGGTTTCCGGAGTTTTCGCTTTCGTTAAGGTTCTGACGCTGGCAAGTAACCCGCTGTTCATCGCGGCTTTCATTCGGATTCTTGAGAGAGACATTCTGTTTAGATATGAAGGTTACGCGTTGACTCTTGGTCTGTTCGTTGTGAAGCTTCTTGAGTCGGTTTCAGAGAGGCAATGGTACTTCAGAACACGGCTTATGGGGCTCCAAGTAAGATCTTTACTTTCCGCATTTATATATCGGAAGCAATTACAACTCTCTAATGTTGCTAAGATGACTCATTCTCCTGGAGAAATTGTGAATTATGTTACTGTTGATGCATATAGAATTGGGGAATTTCCGTTTTGGCTTCACCAGATATGGTCCACAATCCTTCAATTGTTGCTTGCGTTAATCGTCATGTACTTCTGCTTCGGGTTAGCGACGGTTTCGGCTTTAGCGGTACTTATATTGACTCTTCTTGGAAGTTCTCCATTGGCCAAATTTCAACATAAGTACCAGACAAAGTTCATGAATGCTCAGAACATAAGGCTCAAGAACTTATCCGAAGCGCTAACAAACATGAAGATTTTAAAGTTGTATTCCTGGGAAACACATTTCAAGAATGTAGTAGAAAGATTAAGAAATGAAGAGCTCAAATGGGTATGGAAATTGTCGTTGCAAAAGGGGTACTACATTGTCTTGTTCTGGTCATCTCCTTTACTAGTAGGGGTTGTTACTTTCTGGACATGCTACTTGCTTGGTATCAAGCTCCATGCGAGCAATGTCTTCACATTTCTAGCAACTTTGAGGATTGTTCAGGAGCCAATTAGGTTTATCCCTGATGTTTTCGGAGCTTTTGTGGAAGCGAAGATCTCGTTTGCCCGGATTGCGAAGTTCCTGGAAGCACCAGAGCTGGAGAACAGGCACAAGAGGCAAGATTCTCGTCGCCAAGACTTTGATCCATCCATCTGCATTAGATCCTCTGAGATTTCATGGGACACTAACTCTTCAGAGGCCACATTAAGGAACATTAACTTAGTGGTTAAACAAGGAGAAAAGTTGGCCATTTGTGGAGAGGTTGGATCTGGTAAATCAACCCTTTTAGCAGCAGTTCTTGGAGAAGTTCCTCACATCAATGGCGATGTAAGTAGTCATTTCTTTTTTTTCCTCTAGTCTTAGCCTCTTAGGTATAAATGGAAAACTAAAAAGAACTTATCCTTGGTATTTTTTAAGAACATACCTGCCAAATTATTTACATTAACTGTATGATGTTTGGAAAGCATTATCTTACAGGTTCATGTTTGTGGGAAGATAGCATATGTTTCTCAATCTGCATGGATCCAAACAGGTACCATAAAAGAGAATATTCTATTCGGGTCTGCCATGGATTCTGTTAGATACCAAGAAACACTTGAAAAGTGCTCCTTGGTTAAGGACCTAGAGATGCTTCCATTTGGAGATCTCACTCAAATTGGGGAAAGAGGAGTCAATTTAAGTGGTGGACAAAAGCAACGTGTTCAACTTGCTCGCGCAGTTTATCAGAATGCTGATATTTACCTCTTGGATGATCCCTTCAGTGCAGTTGATGCTCACACTGCAACTAGCCTATTCAATGTGATCATATTCTTCCTCTTTAAGCAATATTGGTTAGTTATATTGTTGCTTTGGTTTTAAATAGTAATTCGATTACTTTGCAGGAATGTGTCATGAGAACTTTGTCAAGTAAGACAGTCTTGCTTGTGACACACCAAGTAGATTTCCTTCCAGTTTTCGATTCCATTTTGGTAATGCAACATCCGGCTAATCTTTTTGCTATCTTTGTTTTGACAATTTGAATGTTTTAGCTGTTTGTAACCACCCTTTTCTTTTTGTTTTGTTTTTTCGGGACAGTTGATGTCTGGTGGGGCGATTTCAAAAGCAGCTACGTATGAAGAGTTGTTGGCTTCTTCTCAAGAATTCCAACACCTTGTCAATGCGCACAATAACACTACCTCTTCCGAGACTCAGGTCGAGGACTCTTTTTCTGAAAAAGACAAACCATCCAATGATGGTGAAATACAGAAAATTGATAATGAGGAACAGTTAAAATCATCCATGGGAGATCAATTGATTAAGCAAGAGGAAAGGGAAACAGGAAACATTGGTTCTAAGCCTTACATTCAGTACTTGAAGCAGGGAAAAGGGTTTTTGTTCTTCTTCTTGGCGAACTTTTTCTACTTAATATTCGTAGTTGGGCAAATTATGCAGTTCTACACATTTGCAACAAAACTTGAGGACTCTAGTGTATCAAGAGTGGTAATTTATACAGTTTACTCTGTGATCACGAGTGTCATGACACTAACTTTGGTATTTAGATCTTTTTCTATAGCTGCTCTAGGGTGTGGGGCATCAAAATCCAGTTTTTCCACACTTCTGACCTCTCTGTTTAGAGCTCCAATGTCTTTTTATGATTCAACACCTGTGGGAAGAATACTTAGTCGGGTATGTAAAAATTTACAATTTAAAACTTAATGCTATTATTCGTGATATTTTAATATAACTTAACATTTGAATTGACTTTTTTCCTTTTAGGTATCTTCTGATATGAATATCATCGACCATGAAGTGCCCTTCAAGTTCATAACTGCATGTGCAGGAACTATGAACACGTACACCATATTTGGATTATTGGCTTTTCTTACCTGGCCAATCGTGTTTGTGATTGTGCAAATCATTTATATGACTATAATTTTGCAGGTACAACTCATAAAGCCAATTTTGTTATATTGAAAAGTTAACAACTTCAATTTCTGTAATGCACTTTCACTCACATACACAAACGCACGCGTGCACAGGGGATTTATTTCGCACACACACACCAATAAGAACGTTTCCTGCACCATAAGACAGGCAGTAACCTCTTAAAGTACATGGTTAAAACTAATGAATTTATTTTGATTTCTAAATTGCTAATCTTTTTCTTGGTTCTCATCTTAACAACTAGAACTACTATTTGGCTTGTGCAAAAGAGTTAATGCGAATAAATGGCACAACCAAGTCTTTCCTAGCTAGCAACCTTGCGGAATCGGTTGCTGGAGCCATGACTATCAGAGCTTTTGGGGAGGAGGACAGATTCTTCTCAAAATACTTGGACCTTATTGATGAAAATGCTAGCCCACATTTCCATAATTTCTCAGCAAATGAATGGTTGATCCAACGTCTGGAAACACTATGTGCCATTGTTCTCTCAACGTTTGCTCTTTTCATAACTTTGCTTCCTTTGGATAGTTCTGACTCGGGTAAGTAAACATCACTCTTCAAGAATCCACAACATCCTGATAACCATGAAATGTTTTTAGCTAGTGCTTGCCATTTCATGGTTAACTTCTTGGTGAATTAATTTTCAAGGACCGTCTAACCGTTTGGTTGCAAATAATATTTTGCGCAGGTTTTGTTGGATTGGCATTGTCATATGGCTTCTCATTGAATTTATTCTTGGTGATTTCTGTCCAGTTCCAGTGTATGGTGGCAAATTCTATCGTATCTGTAGAAAGGGTAGAACAATACATGCATATTCCAAGCGAAGCTTCAGAAGTAATAGAAGCCAACAGACCTGCACAAAACTGGCCTACTTTTGGCAAAGTGGAAATAAGCAATTTGAAGGTTAATGATTAGTATGGCAAAAAGGGCATTTGCATCTATCACAACTTTCCAAATTGTGAGATTTCGAGCCTCAAATTTAAATTACATCATGCAGGTAAGATACCGTCCGAATGCTCCACTAGTTCTTCATGGAATAAGTTTTACAATTGAAGGAGGTCAAAAGATTGGTATAGTAGGGCGCACAGGAAGTGGAAAGACGACTCTTATTAGTGTACTCTTTCGTCTTGTGGAGCCCACAGAAGGACAGATCCTAGTAGATGAACTTGATATTTGTACCATTGGGCTTCATGATTTAAGATCACGGTTTGGAATTATCCCACAGGATCCTACACTCTTTAATGGATCTGTGAGATACAATCTGGATCCCTTGTCACAGTATACTGATCATGAAATATGGGAGGTAAGAAGAATTCCAACTAATGGCGATGTTTTTTCTACTGCCTCCTACTAACAGGGAGTAGTTTCTGATGATTACGTCATAATCAGGTTCTTGAGAAGTGTCAGTTGAGAGAGGCCATTCAAGAGAAAGAAAAAGGTCTAGATTCTCTAGGTAAGAAACCAACAATTACATCAGTATCATAGTTTTTTTTTTGTTTTCCCTTCTTTTACAAGAGGTCCGCTAAAACAGAAAATTACTGAAAATCTTGAAAACGCCAGTGGTAGAGGAGGGAACAAACTGGAGCATGGGACAGAGACAACTATTCTGCCTAGGACGCGCTTTGTTGAAGAGAAGCCAAATACTGGTTCTTGACGAAGCCACTGCTTCGATGGACAACACGACAGACGCCATTCTGCAGAGAACCATAAGAAGGGAATTTGCAGACTGCACTGTCATTACTGTAGCTCATAGAATCCCAACTGTCATGGACTGCAGCAAAGTGCTTGCCCTTAGTGATGGTCAGTAACGTTGTCATGGAAAGCTCTTTTGTTTTTTGTTTTTTTTTTTTTGGCCATTTTGCTAAATGTTTAACTTGAGATTTTGATAGGAAAATTGGTGGAGTATGATGAGCCGAGCAAGCTGATGAACAATGAAGGGTCACTTTTTGGGAAGCTGGTGAAGGAGTACTGGTCTCGAGCTGTAAATGCTGGTGCTAATTTAGACAGGATTGGTGGTGATTAAGAATTTAAGAGAAGCCTCTCAACGTGCTGAGAAAGGATTCCCGTCTCCATCTACAATAAGTTGCCAAACGACAACATATCAACAAAGGACAACAATTGGTAAGATGAAATGTGAGTTACCAAACGACAACATATCAATGGACAAAAGTTTGTACAACATCTATACTAAACAGGCGACAGCAATTCAGAAAACGACAGTCTCTCTTTAAAGGACAATATTTACACCATCTACTAGCAGAAACAGATAGAATGTGATTCATTTTTCTCTTAATGAATAAGTTTAGCGTTTCAATTTTATCCTAACCTTGTGATTGCTAACCCCCCTCTCTTTTTTTTTTAAAAAAAAAAATTAACTTAGGGATGAGAGATTCGAACTCTTCACCTTATGGTGGAGTCAGGTATAGAATTACTGTTAAGTTATGCCTGCAACTATTATAATTACTATCTGTTTAATATCAACTGATACGCATATAAGTTGTATATAGGGTCATATATATGCTATACAGTGCATTTTTCTCTATAAATAAAGCAAAAGCCTTAACGAATGATAGCATATTAATTCTATAGATATGAATTGGAAACTCAATATTGTTAGATGGAGAAGGCAATTATCTTACGCAAAGTTTATTGTTGTACATTGATACCATGAATTTCTTGGTCAAAATAAAAGATCAAGACTTTACAATACTCGTTGAAGAGAATGAAAGTTGCCTCAAGATATAATTCAATAAAATCAGAACAAATATCATAATGAGTGCTATAAATAGAAACAGCATTTCATCATTGGACAAGTTATAAGTGACGACCCGCAATAAAGCTGATAATAGTTTTAAGGAAAAATAATCTTTGAAATTCCAACCCAAAACTGCCCAACAATAAAAAATTGAATGCTCTTGGACAGGTTTAAGTGTTGTAAGAGAGAGATTGGAAAATTTGAAGGAAACTGAAAATGTTTCTGTTTCTGAAGTTATTTGTTAGCCCTTAATGAAAAATTAATGTTTTTGGACAGATTTATGTGTTTGGGAGATTGGCAATTTTACTGCCACAATCTTGCCCAACTTCACCATTTCAGACAGAGAATTTCACACCCCGTTTTCTCTAAATTTTGTTCAATTTTATTCAACATTTTAGATTTGTGATGTCACTTGATTTTATCGGTATTTTTTAAATAATTTAGGGAAAATATTTTGTGAAACAATGAGACATATAATTCCACAAACAAAGCTATCTTTTTCCCTTACTTTCACATTTATTAGGCAAATAAAAAAGAGTAATAAAGATTTTTTTTTTTTTTTTGAAGGAGTTATAAAGATAAATTGAGGACAAATATGAAAGTTATAAAGATAATTTACATCATACAGGTACCGAGGTTAACGCGCGAATTGGGGAATAAAGGGGGAAAAAGAAAAAAGAAAAATAAAGCAAAAACATTTACGTCTTAACGAAGGATTATCTTATTAACCGACAACAAAAATATCCCCCAAACATTGACATTTTGTAAAACGACAATCGTCAAACAAACGAAAACAAGGCAATATTTATTGAAAATGAAAACAACTTGAGAACAATTATCACCCCCCAAAAAAAAACTAGCTTGGGAACAAGAATATAACGCACAAACGCAATACGCTACAAAACAACAACTGATCATGCATATTCAACCATAAATATGAAAGTTCAGAGGAAAAAAAATAAATATGAAAGCGAAAATAATTTGAAAAGGCTCATAATGTCGAAAAATGAAAATTAATATTACAAACAAAAATATTTAAAATGTAACACTTACTAGATATTTTTCAATCTGTAATTATTTTGACAAACGGTAACAACAGACTATCGCACAAAGGACAATGAAGTTAAAAACGTCACAAATTTTGAATACGACAGCATACTCTCAGACGACAAAATTATCTGAGTGACAACAATAACTTAAAAACGACAACAACCCCAAACGACGAAAGCCGATAATATTTGCAATTTATTTATCAAATTTGCCGTTTCTCTTCTCATCGTCAATCTTTTATTTACCTTTCATAGTTTTAATTCACTAAATAAAAAATATATTCGTATATGTTAAATATATTCAAAATCACATCTTTAAATGTTAAATTCATTTTAAATTTGTCAATTGTATTTTGAAGTCAAAAATTGATTTTAACTCCGAAAAAAACGCGGGTGACCCATCATATTAAAAAAATAAAAAATTATAAAATTATAAAAGTTATATTTTTAAGCTAAGTTGTTAAGGATATATCCTTTTGAATTAATATAGAGATTAAATCACAACGTTGGTCTTGGATTACAAATTATATGAATTTCTTTTTTTTTCGCTGAAAATAATTTTTTACATGAAATTAAAATTAACATCTAAAATACAACAATAAATATCTGAATTCTTAAAAAAAAAACAAAGTAAATATATTCTTTTTTCAAAAAATAATAAAAAAAAAGTGTTACTTCTCTTTGTATTTCGGGCTGCGGAAAATATCTGATTTTCCATTCGTCCCTTCACTCCCTCGACGAGTCCGTCACTCTCCCAAGGGACAAAAAAAGCCTTCCCTTATATTATATTATTATATATCTATGTACTATATACTCTATTCCCCACCTTAATCTCACCAGCCACCATTCCTGAATTCTGAATTTTCTGTTCATCTTCACCAACCTCTCTCTCTCTCTCTCTATCTCTCTATCTCTCTATCTCTTTCTCTCTCCTCCCACCAAACCCTAGCCATGGAAGCTTCTCCGGCTCTATCTCGCATCGGCCTGGCCGGCCTCGCCGTCATGGGCCAGAACCTCGCCCTCAACATCGCCGAGAAAGGCTTCCCCATCTCCGTCTACAACCGCACCACCTCCAAGGTCGACGAGACCGTCGATCGGGCCCACAACGAGGGCAATCTCCCTCTCTTCGGCCAGTACAACCCTCGCGATTTTGTCCTGTCGATCCAACGGCCCAGATCTGTCATTATCCTCGTCAAGGCCGGCGCTCCCGTTGACCAGACCATCGCGGCCCTCGCCGACCACTTGGAGCCAGGCGACGCCATCATCGACGGCGGGAACGAGTGGTACGAGAACACCGAGCGGAGAATCCGGGAGGTCTCCGACCGAGGAATTCTCTACCTCGGGATGGGGGTTTCCGGCGGAGAAGAAGGCGCTCGCAACGGCCCCTCTCTCATGCCCGGTGGGTCCCACCAGGCCTACCTCAACGTCCAGGACATCCTCCACAAGGTCGCTGCCCAGGTCGAGGACGGCGCCTGCGTCACCTACATCGGCGAAGGAGGTTCTGGTAATTTCGTTAAAATGGTTCATAACGGTATAGAATATGGTGACATGCAATTGATTTCTGAGGCTTATGATGTGTTGAAGAACATTGGGGGTTTGTCAAATTCCGAACTTTCTGAGATTTTCGCCGAGTGGAATAGGGGGGAGCTTGAGAGTTTCTTGATTGAGATAACTGCGGATATTTTTAGGGTGAAGGACGAGCATGGGGATGGTGAGTTAGTGGATAAGATTCTTGACAAGACTGGGATGAAGGGGACCGGGAAGTGGACTGTTCAACAGGCCGCCGAGCTGTCGGTGGCTGCGCCGACGATCGCGGCGTCGCTGGATTGCCGGTACCTGAGTGGGTTGAAGGAGGAAAGAGAGAGCGCGGATAAGGCTTTGAGGGAAGCTGGATTGAAGGAAGAAGTGGGGTCAGCGAAGATTGGTGTTGATAAGAGGAGATTAATTGATGATGTGAGGCAGGCATTGTATGCTTCTAAAATTTGTAGCTATGCCCAAGGGATGAACTTGTTGAGGGCTAAAAGCATTGAGAAAGGTTGGAACTTGGACTTGGGAGAGTTGGCTAGGATTTGGAAAGGTGGGTGCATTATAAGGGCAGTGTTCCTGGATAGGATCAAGAAGGCTTATCGGAGGAACCCCAATTTGGCTAGCTTGTTTGTGGACCCAGAATTCGCTAAAGAAATGGTCCAGCGCCAAGCTGCTTGGAGGAGAGTTGTGGGGTTGGCTATATCCGCCGGTATTAGCACACCGGGAATGTGCGCTAGCCTCTCGTACTTTGATACCTACCGCCGTTCCAGGCTTCCGGCAAACCTTGTTCAGGCTCAAAGAGACCTCTTTGGAGCTCATACTTATGAGCGGATCGACCGCCCTGGTTTGTTCCACACCGAGTGGACTAAGCTTGCCAGGAACAGTGATGCTAATGTTGGGGCTTTTAACTGAGTGGTTGGTGGCTATCTGTTGCTACTGGGTGTTGGTTTATGTTGGAAGCTGAATTGGGGTTGTATGTTTTGTAGGCATAGCAAAAATATCATTGTTACTTTTTTAACTTAATAAGGAAGTGCATGCCTTCTGAGTTCGATGAGTTAGGTCCTTTTTGTTTTAATAATTTCGTGAGTTATTTGTTTTCTTGTATCCGAATTGAAGTGAAGTCAATGAGCAAAGTTGCATTTTCTTATGGTTTTTTTTCAATATAAAGTAAAAATGAGATTATTTTGAGAATTATTTTGAGACTGATTTTAAAATTGTATTTCGTTGATTTTTTAAGAAATTATTTTGAGTATAATAAAAAAGTGAAATCATATGTATTAATTAATATATTATAATATTATTAATAAGCACTAAAAAATAAAAATAGAAAAATAAAAATAATTTTTAATTGTTTTTTAATTTTTTTATAAAAATTATTTTTATTATTTTTGTTTTTAAGGTATTTACTAAATAAATGTCGTTTCATTTTTATTTTTAATTTTTCAAAATGCGTGAATCGTTTCAAAAACGGATTCTAAATACGCACAATGAGTTGGGCGTTTTCCCTTTTGAAATTTGAATCTTTTGGTGCAGATGCAGAATCCAGTATTAGGTAAAACCAAATCTACCGTGAAGATATTCATAGACTACTCACTCAAATGACATAAATTTTCAACTTCCGAAGTGCTTTGATAGGTTCAAAATCGTTCTTTGCATTTTGAACGTACTGCTGTAACATTTTCTTTTATTTGTACAATTCATGTCGTGATTTGAGTTGTGTATATGAGAGAAAAATATTATAATAAAAAAATTAAATTTAAATTTATAAAATGAACTTCAATGAGACAGCTAAACATGGTTTCTACTTTTTTTTCAAAATTTAACCATTTCACCAAACAATGGCCCCTTTGACCGTTGTGTTATTGATTTTGAATTTGGTGCATCATCATTGTCAAGCTTGGAAAAGCAGAGAGGCTTTCAATATTTGAATCACTCTAAGTTTCCTGTGGGAAAAAGAACGAGAAATCTATTGATGTTCTTGATATACGGAAGCTTGGTTGTCGTTAATGTCCTTGTTTTCTTGGATAAGTTTGGCTGCGCATGTCTGTCTTCTTCACATACTTTCATGGCATGGACAAAAGTAATAAATGAAACATAATGGAATCTAAAAAAGTGTGAGAAAGAAATTGGAGATATTTTGAAGTCTAGAAAAAGAATATATTGGGATGTTTGGTAGAAAAGAAATTGACGAAGGAAAAAAAGTATTAAAATCTATGTTGCTCTACAGTCTACACAGGGTAATGAAAAAAATATTGTCCTTGTTTCTTTTCTACTAAATTCGCAAGAAAAACTGTCTCCTTCCTTTTTATTTTCCCCTCTTGTGTACCAAACACATGGTGTTAGGTTCTTTTGAGTCTCGTAGTTTAGAAAACGGGGTCCGTCTGAAATTTGAATATTGTTGAAGTAATTTGACCAAGGTTATTCCCATCTCAAGCCTCTCTGCTCTCGCTTACTGCTAAAATTGCACTTTTCATCTTTGAGATCAATACGTCAATTTGGTTTGGTGGCTCACATGATATAAGCTTAATATGCTAACCAAAGTGAATTTTTGAGATTAATTAAACGACATAAGAAAAAATATAAAACAGAGTCCAACGACAAAACAAATCTGAGTGTACATCAAATGGGAAATCAGCAATATATACTAGACAAATTTACATTGCTCAATCTTATGAATTATTTCAAATGGGTAAAACCTCAAAACAACTACGCATTTCACAACTCTAGTTGTACCATTCCAATTATTTTTGGTAAAAGATAATAACGTGCTTTGGCGGTTCTTGTGAATGAAGCAGATGGGCAAAGAAAAATAGTGAAGAAACAGTTATGTGAAGCATCCACTCTCAAGAACAGGCAGAGTTCTTGTGACTGCAGCAGAAGGCATCTTACTCTGACCAACCCATCGGCTTGCGAGGGCCAAATCTTCGTCGGCGTGTCTTTCCATTATCTGAATCTTCTTTGTTCTCAAGAGCCTCACAAGAACAACCACTGTAATTCCCCCCAAAACCAGCACAGCAAATGCAAGAACAAAGCCAATGAACCACCAATAACACAGCTTCTGCTTCCCTTTCAGCTCGCCTTCCGGAATAACGACCGAAAAATGGCCCTGCTCCCTCGATTGACACACACCTGGCAAGCTCATCTCACTAAGGGAAGTCGTCCCATTGGCAGCATATATGACACACCTTACCTGGGATCTCACGCTTTCTCCGACCGTCAAGTTGTGAAAATCGATCGAAATAGGCTTCCCTCTAGTAGTCAGATTGAGCCTTGTAATGCTTTTGGCGCTCGAATTTGAAGCATCAAAAGCCATGAACCCAACAACTGAAGTGACCAGCTTGTAGCCTGGGACAATGTAGTACTCGGAGGACCAATTGCCCAAGTCTTGATAGACTAAAGCGAGCCGTCTCACATGAGGCGAAGAGGTTGTTCTTGGTGGGATACTGAAATGGCTGAAATTAGCTCCTTTATTCCACATTGTCCGGCTTCTCAGCTTCAACACCGATACTTGTATGCCGGAGAGATTTGCAGGGGAGGTGGCTTTGTAGAGGACACCGGTGTGACGGCGGTGTTCGACAAGCGTGTCGAAAGCAAAGTCTTCAAGTAAAGCATCCAAAGAATCAGCTGCAGAATTGTTGAAGCTGTTTACCAAGGGAAAGAAAAAGAAAGGAAAGATGAGGAAAATGATGAAGAAGCTCATGCCCATGTTGGATCCCTCTAAAACAAACAAGCTCAAATGTTGCATAGATAGAATTAGATAGAGAGATTGTGAGAGCTCAGACATTAACTGGGGCAATGTGATGCGTTTTCAATATCTTAAAAGGAAAACTTGAGAAGCATTGCAAAGCAACATAATAATTATGAAAAAGAGAGGAAAATCTGCTTTTGTTTAAAGTGTTTTGTATGTGTGTTTGTGTCCTGTTTGAATTGATGATGTTTCTTTTTAAAATAAAAAATAAAAAATAAATAGATAAAATAAAGAGAGAATGAGCTGTGAGCATGCTAAGAAAAACGGTCCCATGGTCCCATGAGGAGAGAGGACTTAGGATCATCTTCTTTTTTTTTTTTTTATCAGTATTTCACTTTGACTTTTTGTCAGAACAAACAACAAAAAGTTTACAAAAACTAGACTTTTGGTCAGTAATCAGTAGAATCTAATACCAGATTTAGAGAGATTTTTGCTGTTTAGTTAACACAGCTATGTGATAAGAAGCAATCTCTTGATTAGTCTTTTTTCCATTTTGTTAAGCAATATAGACAGATTTATGTGGAAAACAATAAAAAGAAGCTTGGCCCATAAACATGTGGGCAAAAAAAAAAAAGTGATAAGAGTACTAATTGGCGTTGATTGCTCTTCTAAATGGAGGCATATTTGGCGTGTGGAATGATGGGTTGACTCTGTAACTTATAATTTTGACGATTTTCTTTTCAAGCACTTGGAAGGCATGGTCTTGACCCCACTATGAGTAAAACGACTCCTTGCATGTATTTAAACCAACTAGAGTTTTATAATTATATACAGATATACATATATATGTATATATATATATATATATTCATTTCAATATACCAACTAGAGTTCACTTTCATTCCAGCATCCTAATTCCAACAAGGCTACTTTGTTGAAATTATGATCTCTTAGAATAATTAACAATTATGGTTCTGAAAAGCAATGAAAATACCACTCCACTATGTGTGCAAACATGGAATAAGGGGTTTAAAAGCTGGTCTGTTCATTGCCTTGTGAGCATCCTAAATAATCAGGAATTTTAAAAAATAATTAATTAATTTCATAAATGCTCGTTGAATTTTGTATTTTGTTTTAACATGCTCCGAATTAGATAAGAGGGCCAACTAGGTCATGAGATTAGCGTGGACTAGCTATATTTGGGTCCCAAGTTTGAAATCCCCCCCAAAAAAAAAAAAAAAAAAAGCTCACGAGGTAATGGTAAATTGTAAATTCCGAGTATAATATTTTTAATGATGAAGATTTATACTTTTAATTAAATTTTAATGTTATCAATTCAGTATTACGTCAATAAAAACTTAACAGATCACTATAAAAGAGTATTTTAGCAAACGTTTTATAACTCAAGAAATTGTGTCGTCCCTATTAGAATCAAAGCAAAACGACAGTTATGAAATAGGTCGACGTTTTCAAAAGGAGTCCTAATGATTACGTCAAAGTGAGCTCACAGACGTATAAATAAATTGCAATAAACGGCAGTCGTATTCTTTTTTTTTTTTCTCTCACAATGAAAGAGTTCATAAATTTAAATTTTTAATTCGAATTGAGATGTGATTTTAAGTGAGAGTTTTTTCACTGTAACAGAAAAAATTAAGGGTCCGTTTAGTTCGTTGATTCAAGTTTTTAATTCGAGTTAATATGTGACTTTATGTGAAAGTTTTTTACTGTAATAAAAAAGCTAGATGTGACTGTTTCTGAAAACTTTTTACTGTAGTAAAACACGAGTTCTAAACTCAAATCGGTGAAATGAACGATGCCTAGATGTAATTTTTTATAAAAAATTTTAACTATACCAAAGTTAAAATTAAAAACTCGAACTAATAAAACAAATAAGACTTAAGAATAAACAATGGCAAGAAGTGCTTCAAAAATCACTCTTTATGTCTATAGGTGTACTATTTATAGTGCAGGCAAATGTAGGGAAAAATCATTTAGAAGACGTTTGGTTTATGTATTCAGAATCATGATTAAAAATTATTTCAGTTTTATGTATTTTTTTTTAAGAAAAAATACTGTAAAGAATTATAAATCATGATTCATAATCAAAGACGAATATAGAAAACAAACGTCATTTTCTTGATCTCCTCTCAGAAAAATGGGCTCCAAATCCGTAGCTTTTGCTCAAATATATTGCTCATTTGGAAGCTTTGAATATGCGCTAAATCAGTGTTGACTTGTTCTGACGGATATACTAATTTCTCGTACTGATGCACAAAATCTGCAGCCAAAAAAGTATATATATATATATATACATATATATATATAT